ACACACACACACACACACACACACACACACACACACACACACACACACACACATTTGCTAGTAATCTCGCTAGTATTAGAATCACTTATTGTTAATATTCTTCTAAAATTGCTGACATATTTAATACTTTTTAAAAATTTGTTGAATCTTTAATAGAAATAGATATTCTTTTTCTTACACAATACAGAAATGCAAGATCTGCTTTGGTACTTTTCATTAATAAGTTATTCCAATACAATGCAATTAATTCTACTAACTTTATTAGTTGTAATATAATTTTATATCGGTTACGTAAATTGTTATATAATTTGCATATAAATCAGTTTTGAACTTTTGTTAATAATCAAATTTTCAACCATTATTCACTTTGTGTGTGCGCGCGCTTACATGACTGTGTGTGTGTGTTTTGTGAAAGAAAGAAACAACCGCGCGGAGAAACAATTCATCCGCAGGAAAGAATTAACGTCCTTCCACACACGCTTGATTGTGCTATCAAGTGCATCGATTTTTAGCTTATGCAAAGCTGTGTCGTAATTAAAATACCTCCGTAATATGGAGAAGTGTAACTATGGAAAAAAATACTTTACTACAGGGACAAAAGTATAAAAAATGGTAGCATTGACATAGATACACGCACATGCGCCCGCGCGCGCGCGCACGCACACACACACACACACTTTCACATACTTTCTTATAGATATGTGTGTTTGTATGTGTATTATAAATATACCGTTTAAACTCGATATTAAACTTTATTAATTAGCGCAAATTTAAATTCTCGTCATGGTCGCAAACAAACAGCTTCGGTTACGACTAGCTGTGATTACCTGTGGTTATACATATTTTCATTGGTAGATTCAGGTTTTGTATGAGATAAATTCCCCATGACACGAGTGACGTGCACAAGCGCTTTTCAGAGCGAGACGAAACCGGATTTCCGATTTTAAACGATCGCGATGCATAGTTGCGACATTTGGAAAGGCGGTGCATGCGTCACGGGCACGTATGTGTCAAGTCAGTATAATCTCAATTCGAGTCTTGTCGATCGCGAATGCACTTCATATATGTTAATTTAGACTAATCAAACCTGATCAACGTATACCCCTTGTTATAAAAAGGAATTCAATTTTTTTCCTATAAAAATTTTCTTTTCCCATTTCATCTTGTCGACTGATGGCCAATGTCTCTATGAGACTATATTACTAACAATGAGTAAAAGTTTTTTCGCAAAATATTAAAAAAAAAGACTTATTTACAGAGTGAATTATCATATCGGCATAGCGATTACTTTTACGGTTGCGTCAGATTTTTTACGCGTCGCTTTCTCCGATCATTCGATCCATTCAGCAGTTTGCGGCGCGTTCAATTATTATACAACACCGTATCATCGTCGCGCGACAATGGTTCTCTTTTTTTCATACCTGAATCGATTCGAAGCAATCAATCAAGCTTATCGCAAGCAGTCATGCACGTCGTTGACCAGACTCGGAAGAAATTTTCATTCTCAAAGAAACAAGCCTTGTATGGAGAAAAACCAATTACGAAACCAGACTAGTATAGATAATGTCTGAAACGCACCGCCGCGTCGCGCGCCGCATTGCACTTTTGAGATTTCCAGACATTTTCCAGATATATAGTACATACCTTGAGATACGATAATAAATAAAGAAAGAATCTCTCTTAAAGAAATAATCACCTTTTATTAAATAAAAGTATGCGTATGTGCGCGCGCACGTGTTTGTGGTCTATGCAAAATTTGTGCAAAATTTCCTTTGCACGTATATCATTCGTAGTTTTGCGTAAACGCTTGACTGATTTCATATAGTCGGATCCGATCTATTGATACTACTCCTTTTCCTTTTGTACGCCATGTCCTGTAATATTTTACGTAATCGAAACGTGACTTGATTTCGAGTATCATGGTCGAGTATCCTCCCCCCCTCCCTGTAGTTCGTGAGATAAAATAGAGATACTAACAGAGATATAGTTATGTTGGACCTGCGAGAGAAAAAGTATTGTCTGAAAATTGTGCGACACACGTTCCTTGTTGCGCTGGCAAACCTAAAAAAGTGGCCAAAATTCGATTCGGAGAATAGCATAAAAGAGTATTCTATTGTAATATGCAACTCTTGTTACAGCTATTTCCAAAGTTTCATGGACAGTTATGTAATTACCGTCCATGTAGCAACTATTTGAATAGAAAATCGTTAATTTTATTATATATCAAAAAATAAAATATCTATTATTCTTTTTTTATTATTATGAGACATAAACTACTTTAAAAAAATCACACTAGATTTTTAGCAAGAAATTGATAGTGAAATAGCACTTTATCATCTTTGGAATATACTGTAGTTTTGAAGCTATGAAACCCGATAATCTGTGATAATCATACATCCACTGAAAGTAAGACATATTAGAGAGATTAGCGTATTTATAAGTATTTTTAAAAAATCATGCCTATTTTGCCCGTTTTCATAAACTTTACAAAAAAATTAATAAATTAGTACCAAAATGTGAATTTTGATTCAGAAAAAGTGTACTTTTCGAGCATTGCTAGTTTTGATGAAAGTTTTAAGGGAGATAGTTTTTTAGGGCGTTACTTAAATTGTAGTCAACAACTTGGGATGTTTTTTTAATATTCCAATGTCCCAATGTCCCCGGTCTCCCCTATGCAGAAATAAATGATATGTTGCAAATGGAATCCATTTATTTGCGTTATAGAAACTAATTCAAAAGACTCTAATATTTTAAGCATGTTAAACAACAAAATGCAGTGATAAATAAAATTCGATAATTATATGTCGTGTATATTACATTCTTTTTAATAGAAAATTAATTTCAGCTTTGTTTTCTTGGTTTTTACAGATATTCATTAGCCACAACTAAAATTTAACGTTTCAACATGAAGATCTTGTTGATGTTTCTGGCTTACGTGACTTTCGTGCACTGCGGCAAATCTAAAAAGCAGATTCACGATCAGGAAGTGATCGACGGTTATGAATTTGAGTACGCAGGTCATAGCGCACCGTTAGGTTTGATCGAGTCAAATACTCATTATGTTGAAGCTGCGCCTGTCGTAGCAGTCGCTGCGAGTGGTCATCGTTCGAGTCATCTTATCCGACCTGGTTACAGCGTGGGTGGCCCTTTGGCCAGTATAGCGAAAGGTTAGATACGTTTCTTGTGTTTAAACCGGTCAATGATCCTTTGCTTTTTCTCATTGTGATAAAAATATAAGGGGTAGAGAGAGAGAGGGGGGGCGAATAATGGACATATAAAATATAGTTTTTTCTTTTACTTTTGACACAATTTTTGTGTCCTGATTGCAGGAGCCGCTGACCAAGCTCACACACAATTGAATCAACAACCATCGGCCGCTGGACAGGCAGCATACGTAGCCAAAAACACTCTGGCTCAAGCGGCAGCACAATCCGCGGCAACTGCCGCTGCAGCCCTAGCCGGCAAGCAAATTATAGTGATGGGTCTAGAACAGCAGTCGAGGGACGCACATGTAGCGGTCGACGGTGAAAAGCAACAATTGCAACAAGCTCAAAGGGCGGCCTCATCTGCGAAAAACGCAGCGCAACAGGCGATGCACCAAGTGCAGGTCATCACCACGGCGTTGAACGCCGCACAGGCGACTGCCGAACATGCTGCACAAGCGGCAGCCGAGGCTGCAGCCGAGCTGGCGGCGCAAACGACGATGGTGGGCCAGGCTAAGGCACGTGCTGAGGCGATCGCCGAGCAACTCGCGGCAGCACGTTTGGACTTTGAAACGACTCAGGCGGCAGCGCAAAAAGCCGCTAACGCCGCTCAAGCTGCACAGAGCAATGCCGCAGCCGCGGCCGCACACGCGGCTAATACCGCGGCCGCGGCTGCAGCGGCAAATCACCCAGCCTCTTTGCATGATGACGAACCGCTCGGTTTAATAAACGCCCTGCCTGTAGATGCCTACGAATATAAGAGTTATCACCTCTAAGAGAGGAGAGAGAGAGAGAGAGGGAGGAGGGAGAGAGAGAGAGAGACTCGTGACAACCGCGCTCGTGTTTCCTCCCTTTGCAAGTGTACTTGCCTGGCAATACAGCGCGCAACGGCGCTCAAGCCATCTTTTTCCTTTTCTATTCTATGAGACTCAGCGATCGTATGTCACTGTGTTCACGTGCCAGACTGCACAATAAAATATTGTTGCCATTCTCTGAACTCTCTGTGTATGTGTATACTCGTATTACTCATTCTCTTCCCTTCTCGAAGAATATCATTTAATCCTATTCTTCAGTCGTCTGGATTTTCTAATGACTTTCTGACAAATTCAAATTTAACTTTTTCTTAATCAATATTTAATCACGCAGATGTTTGATTTGATTATATAGATCAGTTTATCTAGCATTGACAGTTAATAAAACTTTGGCAAATTCAATTAAAAATACAGTACGTCAATATAAATATATAATTATATAGATATAACAAAATATCATATAATTTGTAATACGTATCATTTTAAGTAACCTTCAATAGAATTTTAATTCAAAATTCTCGTCTTACACAAGTTATAATTACCATTTTTCACGCGTTTTAAAATTTATGCATAAATTAATATTGTATTTAAATATGCGAATACAAATATGCATTGACTCCTTTCACTATTACTTGTTCAAATATATATGAATTTAGTACCAGTAACCGTATATAATATTATGAATTAATTTGCAATTCCATTTCCATTCATAAGCAAAAAAAATTTACGTATGATATTGTCCTAACAAAGAGTTTTACAACAACTCACAAGTTCAAATATATTTGTATCACTTGTACGTATCAAATATTTTCCACAATTTCCAAGATTCCGCTTATAGTACATATATATGTATATAAACAATAAATGTAAAATATAATACAATAATCGTATTGAAAAAAAACTTTTGTGCATTTAATTTGAGTCTAGTATCTGCAGATTCTGACACTTCCTTCTTGCTTATGTTTGTATAATAATACAGCTTTTATAGTGTTCAAAAATTGAAGCAGCAAAGTGACAGCGCGTAATGCATATTGTGCAAACTTATCACCGTGATTATCAAGAGGGACCCCTGAAACTCGGGAATAATTATAAGAATGGCCGCGATCTTCGATGATATCGACTATCGATATAAATTGTTCTGCAATCCCCGACATTATTTAACAAATAAGAATGCATATTTACGACGCAATAACATCACGTATTGCTGCAAAACTACAATTTTTTCTACAATATACATTATCATTTGCATGAACAATTAAATCCGGATGATAACAATATGTTATCCGGATGATAAAATCGCAGTTTTAAATAAAAATCGAATATTAAAAGTATTAAAATACAGAGTCCCTCTAAAGGCCTCCGCACAATGAAAAATTTAAGGAACAAGGAATAGATATTAGCGATTAGGACTAGAATCAAGAATAAAGTTGGATGCACAATGAAAAATTGATCGGCAACGGAAACGGAATAACACACACAATATATTTTTAACCTATCGAAAGCCGTGAATTAATGTTACACCAGCTTTATTCCTAATTTCTTATTTCTAATCGCTAATATTTGTTTCAAATCTACAATAATTAATGTCTAGGTTATTATACTAAAGACTTGTGTGATATTTATTTTAAGAATAATAAATATATAAGAATATAAAAGCATAAAATATACTAAATATAGTGTCAACACAGTTCATAAAGTATTTGCATGAAACAAAATCACTGATTATTTATAAAGTATAATAAAAAAGAAGTTTAAATCCTGAATTTAATTTCCATCCATTCGAAATATTTTATAAGCATGTAAACCCTACATTTATTTAAATACAATATAATGTCAGATGACGATAGTTTGTCACCACCACCTACGTATTCGAATAGAAAAATCAAGTCGCGTACAAATTTAGTAAGAAGAAAAATTTTGGAAGAAGACTTGGCGGATGACGTGTAGTTAGTTTAAATATGGAAGACTCTGTGTCGAAAGAGACAAAAAAATTGGAAAATTTGAATGAAACTAGAAACAGTACGCAAAAGAAATCAACAAGAGACATTATGATTAAAATGACGTCTTTAGTTTAGATATATCGAAGAGTTTGATGAACTTGATAGACAAGACTGATTTACCTGCCACGATAGAAAATATTGATAAATTAATAGAAAATGTAGGGAATCTCAAAATTAAATCAAAGACAAGAAAAAGCATTAAAGATACGAAGCAATTGACAGTCGCTGATTATAATAAAAATATAGATCAGGCCATAGAGTTACTGAATGACATGGCAATAAAAGAAAAGACAAATGAAAATAGCGATTCTTCTACGCTGATAAAAAAACCTGAAAAAGTTAATAAATCAGAAAACCAGATTTCTCAGAAATACATAACGAAAATTCTTTAAGACCAGAACATTGAAAGAAAGTATAGAAAACGCGGACACACAGTGAATGAACCTAAAAATTTACGAAGTAAATGTCCCAAAATACTTGTAAATGATGAAGAACTCGGTTAAAAACGACTGACAAGAATGACAAGATCCAGTGTCAGAAAGTGCCAAAAAGAAAAACCATCGTAAAAACGTTGTATTAATGTAGAAACCATCTATAGTAGTAATTTGTTGTATAGAATTTTGTAAGATGCAGATAGTTTTGACAAAAAACTACTGCGTATATTCCATAGCATAACAAAATAATTATTTTTACATAAAAGTCCATTTTATAAATAATCGAAGATGCATCTTATTGTATTATATTATATTGTATTTAAAAAATGTAGGGTTTACATGCTTATATTGCTTATAAATTATTTCGAATGGATGGAAATTAAATTCAGGGTTTGAACTTCTTTTTTATTATACTTTATAAATAATAATCATTAATTTTTGTCTTCATCATCATTCCAAATCATATTAACTTTAGTTATCTTCAAAGCTACTGGGTTCTTTCTACGTCGAATTGAAGCAGGTTTCTTGGCACGTTGATTCCGAACGGATGGCGTGACACAAATGCTTGGATCAAACGGGATTTTTACGTGGTCACTTGTATCAATGTCATGTGGCTGCGGAACCATAAACTCTGCAACAGAGATTATCACATAAATATAAAGATCTTATCTGAAATTTGTCCTGAAAAAAGGCCATATGTTAAAAAGTACATACTTGAACTAAAGTCTGAAGACTCTAATACCAGTTCGAATTCATTGTCAAATGCTAATTCCTTAGCCGTTTTATAGACGGGATGTCTCTCTAATGTATACTTGCAGCATATATTGATCGCTAAATTGGTAATATCAAACGCATCCTTTTGTCTCGATGCTATCTTTGTTTTCAGAAAGTAACAAAAATCGATCAATAACTGTATATAATCGATAATGTAGAAACGTATTTGCCAAGAAAATCGCTTCACACCGATTTCGTCACAAGGCCAGTTTTCAGGCAGAACTGATTTTTCTTCTTCGAATAGTTTCCGCCTTATTTCAAAAGCGCCGTGGAAGTGGTCGAGCGCTGCCGCGGTGTGATTTTGCAAGGCATATAGCTGCGCTCTGATGTAAGTGGTGGCAAATACCATGTACTGATACGAAACGTTGCCGCACTTGTAGCAGTCGCAATCTGTGTGCAATGTGAATTTCGGCAAGTCAAACACTTTCTTCCCGAGCTCTGGGGAAGCGCCATACTGCGACATATCTCTGACAGGATCTCCGATCTTCGTGGGAGTCACTGCGAGATAAGTGAATGGTGCTTCAACGGACTTGGACTCCATCGACAACTGAAACGTCTCGATGTTCAACATGTGCTCGAGGCCCTGCAGCTTTACCTCGCAATCGTCCAGTTGTAAACGTGACAGATCAATATAACAAAGCGATTTCAATAGTTCGGCAGTACGTAGCATCGCATTTAAGCTCTGTGCTGACTTTAAGAGTCGCACTAAATCCGGGCTAATACCACGAAAAGATAATAGACTGTTTATTCTTAAGGATAAATTAACTCCAGTAGTAAAAAGTACATCGTAACTGAAAAGATATGTAACTTGATTTGTCCCTGAAACAGATCGCTTGTAAATAGTCGAATAATTTTACACATATATAAATTGATATTGAATTGTAGCTTTATATTAGGATTAAATAGAATAGAAAAGTGGCTTCATAAACTATAATTACATTTTTTCGTCAACAGATCTTGATTTAAGCTCCTCGCTGTAAGCCGATTTTCCTCAATGTACAAGTTATAATCCTCATGTTCCACAATATAAAAATGGCTGTTGCGTATAATAACATCTAAACTTAACAGATACACGGATTTATTAGCAAGAAATGAAATTCCTGGAAGATTTCTAGCTTCAGTAAGTAATTGCTTAGCGTCATCAAACTAAAAAAAAAATAAAAATAAAAAATAAAGATAACAGAAAATTTTATATATGTATTGTATATTAGATAAAATATTTTCGTGTTTTAAACTATTTTCTTACCTTTCCACATTCAAAATAAAGATCCGCTAAACTTATCCAAAAGATAGCAATGGCACCAATTACATCTTCGTCCTCAGAATCTCTGTATTTTCTAACATATTCTTTAGCAGTAGTAATCCAATCATAATTGATTTGTCTCAATGATATGCAACGACCTGTAACTGTAAAAGGATTTATATTAACTTATCCATAAAACATACTTTTTTCTTAATCATTATAATAAATAATTTAACATACTATAAATAATTGTATGATCGTCTATTTCTGATGCTAACTTATATGCCAATGTCCATACTTCAGCTTCGCAATCTTCATACCGATATAACCGGGCATATTCACCAGCTGTTATTAGCATGCGAAGTATAAGTTTAGGTTCCCAATCCTTGACAATTTTTTTCTATTGACAATAAAATATTTTTATACAATTACTGAACTGCAGAGCTTCTAATAATAGCTTAATGCAATAAATAGTCTCCATAACTTACAAAATGGTATTTAAACAGTTGCTTCCAATTCTTCAAACTCTTTTGTAGACACAACATAAGGTTGGTATCCTTTTTAACGTTTATCATAGTATAACCAGGAATTACATTCGGAGATTTGGTTTCGGCTAGTTCTCGTAGCTTGGGGGCGCATAGAGCAAATTTTGTATTTTCCATTTCCAAGTGAGTTTCCTTATTCATTATATGCAACTCCTCCACAAACATAAAAAGGCTTAAATTAGCTTTCAAGCACAGAACAGCCACAGAATTCGACTTATTTTGCTTCAAATCGTGTATAGCTTGCTCATGATATTTTAGAATAGAGCTGTCATAGTTCAAACCTAAAAAATAATATCCTAATAACTGCACCGTGTGTGCATACTGATTACTTGGCTGTAGCTTCCTAAGTTTTTCCAGAACTGCAGCCACGCCATTTGTAAATGTGATCTGTTCTTCCAACAAAATTGTTGCCTCCCTCAAACACAAGGCAGTCAAGTCATATTTGGAAATATCGATTGAAAATCCCAGTTCATTCTTTATCTCGTCTTTATCATTTGTCAAGCACTTCAGCATAGTTAAGTTTGCAACATCTTCGGGAGCATTTTTCTTAATATTTATCCATGTCTGAAAAGCTTTTGTGTTCGACTGATTAAAAGTTAACAGGCCATTCAATGCACACACAGTCACAGCTTTCCTATACATATTGTTTCTATAATGCACAACGCTTAATCTGCGCAATGCAAAAGAAAGAACATTTTCAAGATTTTTGGAATTTTCAAGATCCATAGAGCTTGATTCGATTCCTTCGATTTGAATGATACAAGTACATAAAAAGGAAAAAGAATTCACGCTTTCCTCGTATACGTGTTCGGACAGTACGCCTATATTATAAATTAAATTACGACAAATATTCCACGATTGTGTCCAGCGCTTACATTCGCTTTCCTTCATTTCACGAATAATCAATTCAACGTTTTGCTCCAAGATTTTTCGAGTAACAGCGCACACTTCTGCTGGCAAAGTTTTAACAGGAAATTTACACACTAAACTGGCGCATTTACATTTCATCGCTATAGCATTGTATAAATCCCTCTTAACTGTACACTGTTTGTCCAGGCACCACTTGCATTTGATCGACACTTGCTTGTTGTAAAACTCATCTGCATGCATATGTATGAATAAATTCATTAGTTTTGGGAAGATGCCAGTGTCAAGCAAACGATCGAGCATGTGCTTGTTAGTTTCCACACACTTTTCCCAGTAAGTGAACGTGGGCTCAACTATCTCCATAATACTGATTGCATTCCATTTAAGACCTCCCTCATATCCGTACTTCTGCGCGATGTTTAAGTTATGATAAATAATATTTTCTATATTTTTGGCACTATCGACAAGATTTTCCATTGGCACTAAAAGACTCGTACACAAGCTTCGAAATTGTCGAAAGCACTGGCAGCATTCCTCGTCTTTCGCCAGGAGAGTCTCGAAATAACTACATAATTCATCTAACGTTTTTATCGTAGATTTAATACCAGTTGCATTAACTGTCCTACATATCACACGACATATGATGCAAAGTATACGACAATATATTATGTATTTCTCATCTTTGTCTAAATATAACTGCACTCCTGACAAGTACTCCAATGTAAATTTACAAAAATCATCAAAATATTCCTTGCCTTTATCAGTAGCTGATATTCTATCTAAATGTTTGCCCATCTCCACAATCAAATGGCTCGTATAATCTTTATATGCTATCTGCGTCATTTTCATTTCGTGCTTTATGACACTTTTCAGTTTATTATAACTCTCTAAGTTCAAAGATTTATTCGTAAGAGTGAGATATATGTCGTTAACTAAGACACGCCATAAGGACAACACTTTTATCAGAAGATTCCTGGTGTCGTCTTGAGGATTGTACAAATTGCCAGGTTGCAAATAACCACATATCTCCGCCGCGTCCTCGTACAGATTAAAAGTAATTAAGCAGTGAACAATTTTGAACAGAGCTTTGACGAAGTTGTTGTCATCAGGTACCTCGATCAACAATGAGCAAAGCAATTTGGCTAATTTGGCGATATCTCTCCCGGTCTCGCAGTTCTGCTTATTACATTTGTCCGCCACACGACATAAGCGTAATAGCAATCTAAATATACCGTCGTTCAGCTTGCTGTCCGGTCGGACGCGGATAGTCATCTGGAAGATCAACAATGAGATTTGCGCTCGCAAATAAGGATATTATTTCTAACGGAAAAGAGGTACCTGAACATCCTCCAACACCTCCCGCAGTTTCTCCGACTGTATCAGTTCCGTCCACGTAACAATTTTTGCCTGCGTCCCGTTCATCTCTCGGAGCGTAAAATTCTCGGTTTCACTAAAATCCCACGTACTATACCCGCGTTATTATCGTGCAAACGTTGTCCGTTTCGTCAGGAGTGATTTGAAACTTGTGACCTGCGTAACGTAAACACGGTACTCCTTTCGCGGGTCTTCTGGGAGTTCTTCCACCTTCTACTGGCGTTGTCAGTTTAAAGGCCGATGCTTATTGAACGCGTCACGAGCGTCATGAAAACGTCACTTGAGAAGAGGAAGAAAGAGAGGGGCGTGCAAATAACATTACTGACCATCACCATCACCCTCGTACTTCGTGGTACTTCGTGCCATGGTAGAAATACAAGGGTATGCTCATACCGTGTCAGACCACTGCGCATTCCCACCACTTTTATACAAACTTACGTCATATTCGTGTAGCATCGGAATGAATCGGATGTACTCGGTGATTCGCAATGGCTGCGTTCGCTCGGTTCGCTGTTTATGTCGAGTAATTCGTTTGTGATTATTACAGTGTACGCAATGACGTGTAATGTATGTGTGTGTGTTTTCATAAAGGTTACCTTTCGAACTTATCATGGCAAGAAACTGCGTATGTTATCAGACTATGTAATGACTGATTCGATGTGTTTAACTCGAAATGTATGTACGGTAAATATACAAGAAAAAATGCGTATGGTATAAATATTGAAGAACAGAATATAATTTTGAATAACATGACGACTTTTATCAAAGAAACTAGGATAGGAAAGCATATAACTTTGCTGCCCTTTCAAAAAGGTATTATACTCAGTAACACCTCTTTACAACAACCGCTACCGTACTTACAAGAGCAATATGGTACTTCTGATTTTCCTATTACGTATTTGATAACTTACCGTCTTAATCAAGATCTGTTAGAAAATTTTTTTTCGTTTATACGTTCAATGGGGTGTGCGTACGATCATCCAACACCATTAGATTTCAAGTACCGATTAAAGCGTTATATATTAGGCAAACATTCTAGTAATGTGTTGTCAGATAAATGTAATGTTCAAGAAAGCAAATCGAACGAATCGATCTTTGTATTTCCTCTTAGCTGTGATGTCGAAGAGTCCGTGTTAACGGATATGCTTGCGTCCTATGTTGACGAAAAAGTTACTACTATAACTAGTTATGAAGAAGAAGAGATATGTTTTGATGAAGCATATGAACCTTCTGCGTTGGATTCGTGCGCAATTATTCCAAGTTATGAGGAAGAACAGTTGTTACAGAAATTAGAAGATTTTAATATTAGCGAGGCTATCGAAGAAGAGGGTTTAAAATATATAGCCGGATACGTAGCATTTAGATTTAAAAGCACAGATAAAACATTAGGTATTGAAACGCGCCAATTGGAAACAACGGGTGACCAAGATTGGCTGCAAGTTATTTCGCGAGGAAAATGTATGTATCCGAGTGACAAATTATTACAATGTGCTCGTATAATGAATATTGAGTTTGCTAAATATCACGGATCCAGTTTGAATAAAGAAAATCTTATATTTCAAAACTTAGCAAAAATAATAGAACCACAATTGAAAATTAAAATACCGAGAGAGGCATTACTATGCCTCATTAGGACTAGGACATATATTAGGCTGCGCGAAATGAACCGAGCGATTGCAATCGCAAATCACAGGCAAAAAAGAAGAAAGATGTCAAAATTTACTAATAAAAAACCTGTATATTAAATATTTGCATTTATTGTTATTTGATCTTTTATCTGCATCTTTCCTCTGCATATATAGTTCTTTATGTCGTACGCCACAATATATTTTTGTTTTGCGTCTCAGCTGACAATTCTTTTCCAATCGTTTTCCGACCAGTTTTGATTAAAACTAATAATTCGCAGAATTTTAATAATAAATGACTGGAAATTAAAATCTCGTTTTATGTGAAATTTTTCCGTACGTCGCAATGATTTTTATTCAATGCACACAATTCTTTTTTTCTTAATAATAATAATATTTTCTGTAATATCATATATTTAGACAAATCCACATAAAATAATTATAAAATTCGTCAAATAACAATAACGTTTCTAACATCTACAACGAGAGACAAATTCGGGAAACGATGAGCGTTTATCCGTATGTCACGTGCGTTTTTTATATTTATATATTTTTGTTCATATATATTTATTTATTTATAAAACAGAATTTTCTCTCACATAAATGATCAACATTATTTTGTATTCACATATTGTCCGCTCAAAATGCTTTTATAAATGACTATTATAGATTCGCTGCTTAAATGTGCCGCTCAGTGTGACGTAAGGTTGGAAAAGTCGCTGATTGGCTGGGTTCGGAAATATGCGCAAGAGCATACCCTTGTATTTCTACCATGCTTCGTGCCAGTTCGTGCCGACGCCGCGCATGTTCGAGCCGTTCGAGCTAACCTCAAACTCAGTCTGCGTGTCAACACTGTCAACTTGAAACGCGCGAAACGGGAGAGTATGTCGAGAGTAACCGAATCCCTGAAGAGGCTGAACGTCAAGAACGACGCAGGAACGCGCGGACAGGACGACGAAATGGTCGGCAAGAAGGTCGAGCTGACGCTGTCGCTAGAAGAGACGGTGTCGCACGATCAGAACTACATCCTCTCCGTCTGTGGAACTCAAAGGCAAGTTCAATGTTTCCTTATGGAACATTTCCTTTCAGATCTGCGCAAAAATGTGACACACATCACACATGTGCTTCAATTATGTTTCTGCTATTGCGCGAGAAATTAATCTATAACTTTTAATATATAGAACACTGTTGTGTTTGTGTATTCTATTTTTTTTTATTACAATAAAATATAATTTTCTAAATGTATTTTTTTGTTATCTAAATGTGTATGCCCAATAATATCATTTTCAGTAATTTTTACTGTTTACCAATATTTTTGTTTAAATATTTTGGCAGTTTGGAATATCTACTTATTATTATATCTTATTATTATAACTTTGTACTTGACACGAAGTGATATGATATTTTCCAACCACATGTATTAATTTTATTTTTATATAAATCGTTTGTTATATATAGTGAGCCAGAATTTACAATTGGAGCAGGACTGTCGGACCATTCGTGCGTGATATATTCTGTTGGCGAGTCCACGAGCCGAACGATTACCCTGGACCATAATCAAGCACCCATCGTGGGAGTTAAGTTCAGTCCCACTTCTAAAAATATATTATATATCGCGACTAACGATGGGCTAATTACAGCACGTGATTTGCGTGCTAAAGGAAAGGTCGTGGCAGAATTCAAAGGTAACTGTCAGTCCCAACGGTCCCAACGACCGTAAACATAATTTACTCATCGATGAAAATTCTAGTCACGTTTCAACATTTACAGATGGTACGGAAGATGGCAAAACAAAGCCTTTGGCTAGCTTTGACCTCAGCTGCGATGAAAGGCTCGTAGCCGGTGGGACGGAGCACACCGGTGGAGATGCGTTTATTCTATTTTGGGACCTAAGGCAAAGTGGTTCAAAAATAGGAAATAAAAACAATCTCCTTGGTGGATATTGGGAATCGCATATGGATGACGTCACTTGTCTGACCTTTCATCCCACCAAGCGGAATGTTTTGGCATCGGGTAGCACTGACGGTCTGATGAATATATTCGACCTGACGCAATCCTCGGAAGATTTGGCCTTGACATCCTCGTTAAATACCGAGTCGTCAGTGGTGAGAAAATCACCTATGTTGTTTTGTATAACGTGACAATATGAACTATCTTGGTAATCAAACAGCTTTTCTTTTTAGGACAGGCTAGGTTGGTTAACCGATGATTCTCTATGGTGTACGACACATACGCATTTGCAATTATGGGAATGCGAAGGTGCTTGTGCGTATGAAACATTCGCGCGCAGTCATTTAGCAGTATCGCGGGTATGCATGGTTTTTATAATCATATCACTGTTTATCGTTTATCACTTTTCTCAAAGAATAATCTTGAAGAATTCTATTTATTGCAGAAGGATGATCCTGATAATTGTTACTTAGTGAAATTCCACACGACAAATGTGTTTGGACAACCATTCCTGCTGGCGGGTTCTAGTACAGTTACAAGGTATTAGTTTTAAATATATAATAAATGTACTTATACTCTGTTCAAAACAATTAGAATTTTTTTAGATTATTGGAATTTAGTTGATCGTATAGTATTGCTGCAAGGAGTAATTTCTTATTTATTTTAAATAATGTATTAACATAGAATATAAAATGTTTTAATACAATATATAACGTTCGTATTTTTTTTTTTTCAGGGAAAATTTAAGATGTTTGAGTATTAGGGAGAATTGTTTGGAAACGTGTTACGAAATTATAGGGAACAAACAAATAGTACGGGACAGCTGGATCCATGAAAAGGTAAATTAGTAGATTAAGGAATTATTTCAACTTGGAGAATTATTGATAACAACCTCGTATTCTCGATTTTGCAGAGTGGTAGCTTGGTGACAGTCGGCGAGAAAGGCATTATCAACGTGTGGCGACAAGCGGAATCGCCGACACAGCGAGATTCGGATCATAAGTTGTTAACTAAAATTGGAAACGGCCGTGACCGGCATCACAGGATTAAACCCTATTAAAATAAGTATTTAAGGCAAATAATGTAAATTCGAAACGTCATGATTGTATATTTCCCTCACATTCTTCTTTATTACAATAACAGTTTGTACATTTATAATAAATAGGTATTATTTGTTTATGCGATTAATTATTTAACGGCGAGTCATATATTGATAAAAAAAAATGCAGCCACGGGTTCCGTGGTATAAATGCTAAGGAATGTAAATCACATGTAACTGCGGATACATGGAATTAATAGACGTGGAAGAAAAGAACAAGACAGACCATAGGAGTTGCGCGTGACTCGCAAGGAAACGGATTTCCTTCTGTCACAGCGAGATTAAGATTAATAAAACAGGACGATTGGCAATCGTCAGAGGACTCGTGTCGGGTAATCAGTACTCGTGACAAAGAACAATCAACCAAATAACTCGATAATAACAATTGGATAGTAGTTTACAGTCTCTGCGTTTGAAAATCGTCAAAATTAAAAGGAGACTCCTATTGCCGATCCGTGAGCGTATCAATAGCCAAACACACGCCCGCTTATTACACATTATGTAATATTATTACATTAACGATTCAAAAGACGATCGCAGTAGCGAGTATCACAATGATAACAGTAGATATAGTTTTAGAGCGAAACGGTAGTATAGGTACAGACTAAACGTACAAAAATACTTCCCATGAGCATCGGGGACGTAAAGATTCGCTAAAACGTGGAAAACCGCGTTACTGTAACTTTATTTATAGATATATATATAATCTTTATAGATATATATCCTTTCTCAAACTTTGGGTCGCCACGTGACGTTATACTAGAATAGAAAAAAACAAAAGATACGAAACGCCACGAGACGCGCGTAGGCCGTCACGCTATTCCTCAGCTGTTGCCGATTTGATTCTTCGCGTGTTATCCCGCGGGATTGTGTACGACTTCATTTATTTATTACAGGTATATCAGTCGACGGAGACGGGAAATTGCGGCATCTCATCGATCGCCCACCGTGACAGTCAATTTGCTCCATTGCAGCATATTTTCCGAGACAGAGACTACGTTTACACAGCGGCTTATAATCCGGTTTGATAACTACCGTATACTAATCGATCCAAAATTTTTCTTCTTTTCATTATAACGACCATTTAATTATAAACCTATTTTGATACTCTACACATTTAAATCAATCTTTGATATGTATATATCAAAGATTAATTCAAAGTTAGTGTGTATATGTATATGTGCATATATGTATATATATATACGCACTAAAAGTTATGGTTTAAGTATCAAAAAAGGTTCATATCTAAATAATCATTATATGATCAAAGAAAGAAAAATTTGGAATTGGATAATATACGGCAGTTATTATTAAACCGGATTAGTCATCGTGATTGTTTTCTCGAGTCGTACGGAAGTTACGTTTCGTCTAAAACCAATTTCTTTTTACGAATCTCCTTTGCCCGGCTAGTTACGCAGTAAATATATCGTCTGTATGCATATATGTACGCGATGAAGTCGAACACTCATCCACGGCAGACGCTACAACCAGCTACAATCGCAAAATATCACCTCGCGAGCTTGTCACATGCTCGGCATCGCAGTAAATAGTAAATATAGTAGTAGTAGACTTGTAATAAAGTCGCCTTATATCCTTTTTTCCCCCTTTTTTTTTCTTTTCCCTCGCGTAATTCGACATACCTTACGGAATACTTTTTTAAGATCTATTGTCACCGTGATTGATTGAGACGAACTTGCAGCATTATTACTTAAGTTTCCTTAACGAGGCTAATTCATTAGACGTTTCTTATCCACCGCGCCTCAACGGCCCCTTCGCCCGCCTTTCAATCCGATCATATTGCACGCTAGTTTTATCTGTTAAGGAATGTTCATTTATATACGCACAGTATTATAACTATAATCGTTTACGAACCGAGTTCAGAAGTTCATAATTCAGAGACATTATTGACAATCATCACAACAATACGATATATATCATGTGTGTGTGTGTGTGTGTATATATATATATATATATATATATATATATATATATATATATATATATATATATAAAACACGGTTGTCGCAATTGTCCTTTCCGTTTTTGAATCTGAAAGCGCGTTTGATGCCGCGTCGCAACGACGAACTTCGTTAAGGTATGCTAAATACGTATTGCGTTTTTTTGCGATCTAACAGTACAGTGGGTCGGTGATCCAACGTGCAGTATGACCGTACTATGATTCAGAGATTCCTCATCTTTCATTCGGCACTCGAGAACGTCCTCATTCGTTGATAAGTGTGACGTACAAATAAAATACATTAGAAACGGTGCACGGGATGCAAGATCCGCGAGAACCGACGCGAACTATTCTCGCAATGAGCGAAACGGGAGTTCGTTACGATTCTCGTGTAACGGACTCCCTCTCGTTTCCGTGCGTATCATTTCGCGTGGGCTTGCGCGAGCTTTCATCATCGATCTTACACAATGCAATAAATAAAGTTAGCTGTGGACAATAATACGAGGAGAAAGAACGCTCGACAAAGAACGACAATAATGGCAGTGAATAATCCCGAAACGAAATGTCAAGTATGAAATCCCTCCGCTACAATTCGTGGGAAAGAGCCACACACCCGCCGTATCGCGCGCGACACACCCACGTAAAAACAGAATCGTGCATGTAAAGTAAATGTTTTGAAAACTGAAGTGTCATCGATTTTGACCAGCGGCTTGGCACACGTACTGACAATAATGACAATAATGCATAATTGTTAATGATAAATCCTATCTGTCGCTTTAGCACGTATTAAAATACTTCAATAGTAATAAGAATAGCTACCGTAGATTCGCCCTATCATTCGTAACAGAGATTCGCTCGTGCATTCACAGAGATACAACTAGACGTGCGAGCGTGCGAGAAAAGTCGCATCGCACGTACATATGCACATACACGATTGGCCCTTTCATTCGTGCCCAATTATACACACGTATGCTTATGAAAAAGTATATATATGTACACACATTCCTGTATATATGTATGTAACCGTAATATATATATATATATGTATTTATCTACCTTGCACTTCAGCAAGCAGCAACAGGTTTAAAAGATTTATCTAAAATCTTGTGTTTCTAAAACTGTCAGTCGGCTTGATAACGTAACGAGCAAGAATTCAACAAGATTGGCTGATCTGGTTTGCTAAGCCGGCCGTTAATACTCTTCTCTCTCTCTCTCTCTTTACTCCGCGAGCATCTCGGATCACTTTTAATAAAAATTGTTTTACTCTTAACGTATCCCTCTCGTCAAGGTAATAATTTGGAGAGATTTGGCATAAAAATGATTATTGCCGTCAGTTGTAGCAGTTGGAACGTAACAAAGTATTATATCTTTTCTTTCTCCCAGCTACACCGAGATTAACTACTCGCATTTATTGACGATTGTGTGGGCAAGATCGAATATTGTATTACGTTACGACCTCGTCGTTAAAATAAATAGTCGTGCATCCTATCGTAAAACGATCAAACCCGTAGTGAGGAAAGGGTGAGCGATAGAAGAAAACGCGAAATGGTAAAAGATGAGACATTACGAAAGAGTGTATCTGCGAAGCGGCGAATAGATTGCATCATCGCGAAATATTTATGTCGAACATCAAAAGGATTTAACGCGGCTGCGGGACTGTCTGCTCCTCGACTGATTTCGCGGTGACGGTGCCGGCGTTAAAGTTGGCGTAGTCGTACCGGTGGTGGCGGCGGCGCTGGCGCGCGACGAACGCGACGAATGCTTGCGACCGAATCGAAAGAATCGTCAGAAGAAGATCACCTCCTCCTCCAACGGTTGTTGTTGTTGCTGCTGCTGCTGCTGCTGCTGTTGCTGCGGCGGTGGAGGTTGCGGTTGCGGCTCCGCGTTTCGCTGCTGCTGATGCTGTTGTTGCTGCGCTTGCTGATGCGCATACGAGGTGTCGGGCGGTGAGCGAGTGATGCGAAGCGAACGATTCGACGAATGCGTGTTATTCCCGCAGATTCCGTGATGGTGACTGTTCCCGAGCTCTGGCGACGAGTATACGGATCCAGTGACGATCGCTGGGCTGCTGCCCGCCCTGGAATGCCGATCCGGACTATTGTTGCTCGCGGTGCTACCGCTTCTGTCGTACGATAAAACACAGATTATTGCTTGTCGACTAAAAGATAAACGTTTGTGATGTAGAATGAGCTGGCTCTACCTTGTGTTATTGTTACTTCCGCTGGCGAGCTTCAGCGGCAGCTGTTGTTTGATCGGCAAGTTACTCTGCACTTTCTGCTGATTTGTTGCACTGATCAGATTCAGAGGAATGCGTTTCGCGTCGGGTTGTGCCTTGCTGCGCGCGCTTTGCTGCATCGTTTCGGCGTTCTGCGTCAAGTGAGATAGGTGAATCATCGTCGAGCCGGTCGTGGAACTTCCGACCAGCGTTACGCCCTGTCGCTCCAATGCCTCGAGTCGTCGATACAACTGATCCCGTTGTTGCGTTACGTCCCGCTGCTCCGCGGCCAATTGCTCCCTCTGCCGCGCCAACTCGGCTCGTTCCTCTTCCAGCTGGGTCTTCTCCTGCTGAGATGCGGCGCGAAACGCCGCTTTTTCTCGACAAAGCTGATCCTGCAAGTTCCGCAGCTCTTCCAACTGACGATTCGGATTCGGTCGGCTATTGGACGACTTGCCCATACTGCCCTCCTTACATGCGACCAGTTGCGCTTGTAGACTGTCGATCGTTGTCATCTGATTACTTATTATACAGAGTAACGTATAAACGTGATGAGACAAACGTATCGCCGCCCACTGCTGATCCTTGCTTGTCTCCAATTCTTGGCCGTCCTTCTCGTCGGCAGTTTCTTTAGGTAATTCACCGGGTTTCGTAACAGGGATCACAGTGTGCAACGTGTTCGAATCACGCAGCGGGTATCTCTCCTAAAAGCGCAGTAGATTATTTTTATACGGTTATTTTACACTTGCTTTTGTTTATACATACTTTATTGTGATCGAAACCAGCAAACGTTTCGGCCCTTCGAGGAACGCAAAGAGCAGGCGGAATGTAAGCTTCGCTGTGGCGTTCGCCGGCGGAGCTTAAGCTTCGCGATAGAGTACCGCCACCCGCGCTGAATGACAGTGTGCTAGCAAGACGTGTCGCTTCTTGCACGGCCACAACCACCTGCGTAAAACACAAAATTTATATGATTAATCCGACGATTTATAAATTAAGAATTCAATAGTTAATATAATGTATAGTGGGATAGAATATTAACCTCTTGCCACAATTGAGTGGTATCAGTTCCTTCATTGTGCACCAATCGGGTGTAATCGGCACCTTCCTTCTCGTGCTTTTCAATTCTCTCATTATCGCTCTCGTTCGCGCAGACATTCGCCGCTTGTAAAAGCCGCATTTGCAAGTTGATCTTCTCCTCAAACAGCGACGCCTGCTCTGCATCTTTCTTTCGCAATTCGCCTGATGTAACACAATTTTTCATTTGAATACATTAGAAAGCGCGAAATAATATCAGAAGTTGAAAAAAAAGCTAAAGAAACATACCGACAATTCTAAGTATATGCGACTCCTTAACCTTGGCAATACGCTGCTTCTCTTCGATGGAGATCAGCGAAATCGAGGAGGAGCGAGTGTCTCGCAACTCTTTACTATTTTCAGTCAGCGTGTCGGCCTCGTTTTCAGGATCTTGCGGGCAAGTCTCGACCGCTGATCGAATAGCCCGTATCCATAATTGTTTATCCTTTGGCTTCTGAATTTTTAGCTCGAACATTTCCGGTTCGGCTGGATTACTGCTTATCAGGTAAATGCTAGATTCTTGACGGGCCTTTTCGCGAACCAGTAGCTTCTGCAGCGATACTATACCCGCTTTATTGTCAGGCACGAAGAACGCGTATTTCTGATCTCTCTCAGCCAAGAAAAACAATATATCTGAGAGAACGACCACTACAATGGCAGTCATTTTGCCACGACCTTGCATTAAGTATGCAGTGCCCTCGAATTTCAGGATTCTGTTAATTATATCCGACTTCTTGAATTTGGCACCACGATACGTCGCGAATGACTTCGCGTCGATCCTGTAAAAACATTGTTATTTAAGTTCCGAAAAAAATAACGACGCAAAGAAACGTAATAAAAAAAAAGAAAAAAGGGGAAAAAAATCGAAACTTACTTATTGTATATTTCTAATTTTCTATCTTCTCGTTCTTTGTCGGCTACACAGGCATCTACATCAGCTAAAATCTCTTTAACAAGGACCAGTGCTTTACGTAAGTCTTCACCTTCATCTTGTGTAACGCCGGTTTTGATGAGCGGCTCGATCAGCAACGGATACTTCGTCAAACGTTGAGTAACAAAGAGTATACATTCAGGTATACCTTTCTTTTTCAACAAAGGATTCGTCTGAGGGCACATATTATTCCACTTTACTGAACCGGTACCGTTCGAGCCTACGTCGTTTGCTCGTTATTAAAACATACCTGACAGTGGCGAACAAAACGGGCGAAGCGAGGATCGTTACGCAAGTAATACTTGTACGCTTCAACGGCGTCCCGATGACGACTACAGAATTCCCCATACGCACTCTTCATGCGTTGTGCGTTATCGCTCGAGAATTGCTCGACTAGAATGTCGGCGATCGTGGAGACCACGGGATTAGCATTCTGTCGTTTCCACAGCTTCTGCAGAAACCGTAAATGGATGTCGATCAGATCCCGTAGTCGGGGAAACATGCGCTCGAGATCCGGCTGACCTAGACGAAAGTGTCGTCGCAATCCTTCCGCAAAGATCTTCTCCATGGCGAGCAATACCAAACAATGGTGCTTCTCCGTCAGCACGAATTCGTATATATGTTCCTGCCTCTTCACCTCGCGCTCGCAATGATCGACGAGACGTAACGCAATGTTACGTCCGATCGCGGAGCTCCAAGAATCGGGCTCCTCCTTTCCCAACGTCAGCTCGGGATCTATCTCCTCGAGATCTGCCACTGTGAACTGATGAACATCGTCCCCAAAGTCAAATTCTTCCCATCCGCTGAAATAAAGGAAAAATCAGCTTATTAATTTTCTTTTCATTAGTTTATTGTTCATTACACCGTTACGGTACACCGGATGCGTTGATTAAAATTTACGGATTAAAGTTTATTGTAACATATAAGAAAAAGAAAAGAAAAAAGATATATTTACAAACCTGGGAAGATCACGATGTTGCCCGCCCTCGGCATCTTTTTCTTCGTTTATCGTTTGACTGAAAGAAAGATATAGCTTTGTTTCATAAAGCACGATTTACAATTAAAGAAAAAAAGTGTCACTCTTTCCTAAATGACGTACACAATGTTAGGACAAACTCCAGCTTGAAAGACTCTTGAAATTAATGTATACTGATTGTGAGATGCCGGCCTTTTAAGAAGACTGGGAATTATACATCTTAAAAATATTTTTTTCCGTACGATCCTTTCTATACAAACCTTGCAGATGATATTTAATATCTTCATTTAAGCATGTATAAACCTTCGTCTAATTTTCATTATAGTGTCAATATATATCCGATATATTATTGAACTATGATATATTATTGACTTACTGTCGTAACAATCAATTCCGCTCTCATCGCAATGTATAGTCAATAAAACTAATGATCTAAGATAAATTCAGAGATATTAAAAGTCTTTGATATTAATAGCAAAAAGCCATTCGCAGAGATAAACAATAATCTGCAAGAGCCGGAAACTTCGAATTTAGGTCGGGTGGGACATGCGTCATAGAGGCAACTACTTGCTTTCTTTCCGTTCCTATCTTGTCCTCCGGTTTGCTTAAACTTTTCCAGCGATCGAGAACACGGATTCACGTATATGACGCATTACGGGAGACTTGAAGAACAGCACCCGTTTTATATTCTCGTTAAACCGTAATCGATCCCGACCCGACCCAAAAACTGACTTGACAAACTACTTTGAAAACGTGACTGTATACATATGAAAGTTCGGATACGAAATCTCGTGACACATTGAGAAACGTGGGAACAATGAGAGAAAAAAACGTGACAAACTATCATTGACAGGGCAAGTTGTAAAGTAAAAAGGAGAGATAGAAACTGGTAACACATGTCATGAGCATGTATCTACTGTGATATTATATTGTCCGGTGTGTATATATTTATCATGAAGAAATTACCTTACGAATTAACACTCGTGAACTTATGCGCCATAATTTAGGCAAAGATTACAACGAGAAGAGATAACACAAAATATATCATTAGATGGACAAAAATCATAGAAGCAAGCACAAGATCAGAAGCACAGGCAGGGCAAGATGATGTCTCTTTCAGATTATACAAGACGAGACGGCAGAATTCGAATTTGCCGTTAGCTGAACATGTGCATGTATGTGCATGTATGTTGTAGTAAGGTGCCTTTTCACGTTAACGCTCGACGCTCATTTTTAGCAAGTAAAAATCTTCAGAAATAATATCTTTTATTTATATATATATCCATAAAATATTATTACTTGAAGATATTACTTGAAAATAATTAATATTTTACGTATTTTGAAGTCTATGTTTGATTGTACTGGGACGATTAACGACGATTCAGCGACGACGCTGAATATTAAACAAATTCAACTTCATTTCTTTGACGCTAGCGTCAAAGCGAAACCACCACGTTCACCTTGTTGACGCTCATTTTCAGCGTCTCATGAATTGGCACCTGTATGTGATGTGCGAGAAAAGAATCGAGGAACGAGAGAAACGCGCGCCTTCCTATCAGACGCGTGTAAAGCTGAATCCAGATTAAGCAAAAGATTGCGAACAAATGCGAACAAACGACTCGCTCCAACCAGTGCGAACGGTGCCGCCAGTATATGAAAGCAAGCTATTCATTCGTGTTTGTTCGTGCTCGTTTACTTGGCCCGAATACAGCTTGAAATAGTAGCGAACGAAACGAACGCTTTCGACAGAATACAGGAGGAACACATCAGATATCAGAGACTTACTTGACTCCAAGCTTAGTGGCGACTCGCCGCCAAGGGCTGTAGCTTGACACGGTTTTCTTGTGGCTGTTAATTTCCCTTTAATCGTCGTACAATCGATCGGTTTGCACGTAGTTGCACGAGAGGGAATGCACGGGAGAAGGAGAAAGCACACACTGCATTAGGGCAACTTCATCTTGCCTGTCAGGCCGTTTTTTCTTCATTTCCTTCATTTTTCTTGCGCTAAGTCTTTCTTTACGCTTGTCGACTTTTTATGTCGAAACTTATCTTAACGAATCGTTCCCCACACGCAAGAGTTTTCTATTCATTAATAAAATAGCTTTGTCCTTTTCTTTGAAATTGACGTAATAAAATTAAAATTCAGAATCGAATGACTCTCGGAATTACGTCAATGTGTTTGATAACTTCTCGTTACGACGCAATTACCGATAACATCAGCCGTTAGTATCTACTATCTTTGTAGCTTGTGTATGTAATAATAGTAAACCGAAAGCTAGCTGAAGTAGTCTGAGCATGGTATATTTTGTACAAAGTAATACGCATAATATGTAAAAACGATATTATATCAATTAAAATGTAGCGGCGCGATGCTGAACGCGCTAAAGCTTGCCGTACTATTAATATTGCTAAACTGCGAAATTAATCAGAAATAATAAGCTTCTGAGCCAGCCAAAACCTCGGAGTAATAAACAAATATACAATTTTTGTTTAGTTTAAGGTTTTTCACAATCTCGCTTTGTATTATTTATATGTGTTAGATAAGAAATATTTCTTTACTTAATAAGTTATTGAATCTTCTTTCTTATCTAAATATATGTTTTAAAATAAGACAGTAAATTCTAATCTTGCCAATCAAATTAAGCCTGATCTGAGTTACTCATTAATCATTTCGCAAAAGAAGTTCGTTAAAAACTCCGAGTTTCGGCCCAGCCATGCTATTTGCGTGCGAATCTCGAACCACAGATACGCAGATCCAATGCAAAAAAAAAAAGAATAATTTTTGTCAATATGAACTTGTTACCTTCCGCTTCCGGATGATGTCGGTAAAGGCAGTGACGTCGTGGAACCCCGTTTGTTGACGCTGCTGTTACTCGACATTGTGGAAACGTTAGATGAAGACTTTGCTGCGGATTTTCCGGAGTGATGTTTGGACTTGATGCACTCCAGCATTAATTGATCCTTACATCCCTGACTTTGATGAACCGACGCTCCGCAATCTAATTTTATAAAAATTAAGCGAAGTGTAATTTTACGAAAGTTAATTATAACATTTACGGCAATCGCGAAAGTCGTTTAACTTAATATAATGGTTCTCTTACTGTCGCAGTGAAGGAGCGGTTTATTCGTCGAATGTTTCATACAAACATCACATAATAAGCTTCCCTGAGTTCCCACCGTCGTCGTTACCCACTGATGCTGTTGACTAGTCTTCTTTCCGCTTTTATCCTGAAACAAGATTAAAGCACGATTCGATCGAGAACGGCTTTATCGGATGTATCAAGCAATCACATTTTAGATTATTGACTTACCTTCTTTTTGCGGAAGAAAATAGAACCGCGCTTTCTTCTAGTCTTTTCGGAATGATGATCATCGTATGCAGTGCCACTGAAAAATCAGCATATATACCAACATTGTTCGAGTCTAAATTTGGCATGGATATTTAAAATTGTATTTTGTAGATGATCAGCAGTGCAACTATGGAAGCGTTTCGATCTATTCATAGCTTATTGCGAGAGATAAAAGTATGCGTGTAATTTCTGTAAATGTGTGCAGAGCTACGTGTTTTAAAAAGTGTCGCATGCACAACCACGTGACATAGTAATTTTCGTTGTGATATATTCGGTAATTTTTGTTCAACGAGTCTTAAGTAACATTAAACTGCCTGCACATATATTATTAATTAATACCTAAAGAGAAATGTGAGTTATTCCAAACAAATAAATATATATGAGTCTATCTGACAGATTTACTTTTGCAGTTGTAATGTAACTACAGACTATTTGTAGCTACAGAATCGATCATCGAGTAAACCGGTACAAACCATTCCCATCAGTGACGTTAAAAAGTTTTCGCAGTATCGTAAATAATCTGGTTAAATATGAAGGACTTGAGGCATTGGGGTACTCACTCGGTCAAAAGCTCGTCAAGGGATATTTGGACATTCGGAGTGCCCTCCCGGTCTTCATGGAATTCGTGGCTGTGTGGTGTATGAAGATCTTCAGTTTCTGTCTCACTCCCACTACCCTTTTCGTTTCTTTCACGACGGCTGTTTTTCATGCAGGATTGTAGCAAATTTTCAAGTACAAACACAAACTAAGCAACTATCGTGTATAATGAATAATTGTAGTTCAGATATTCTCAGATGATCCGATGCAAAAATGCACATCAATAATATTTGAAATAATAAACTGCTCGCGTTTAGAAAAACAGTTATGTGATTGGCAGAAGTGATCGATGAAATGTGAATAAATTAAGCCTTTAAATCAATAACAGATATGCAATGTTATTAACTATTTTGGTCTCTTATAAAATAAAAGTAAGATATTAGTTATAGGTACTTGTCGTCAATAACTGATAATGTAAGCCGCGCTACTCTTTGGACAAAATATGTATTAAACTATGTTAAATTGTTATCATAAGATAATCTGATGACTTTTTCTTGTATGTTTTATGTGACTTGTAATATAATAATACGCGAGCAGTTATAATAAGATAAGCTAAAAGATCTATATAATGCAGAATGTTTCAGGCACTTATGAATGTAGACATCTCTGAGATTTAATCTACTAGTTATCAAGTGTTCATGCATAAGTACGTCTGCGTCTGATTTTCGAAATAAGTTTCTACTTGTGCGGAAAATTGAAAAATCGACAAGATGTAAATATGTACGCGTGAAAGTGTACATGCATGGGTGCCTGCTCACACATGAACGTACACGGCACAAGATATATATGTGCATAGCTTTTTGTGTGCTAATTTATAACGAGATCGCAAGCTAGATTAAGACTGTGTGCGTAAGTAAGTAACGTTCCTACATCAAAAACATCAGGAAATAATAAGTATGAGTATTTGCTCCTTCATTATCGTTGATCTAGCTGTGCGATCTTCATCAATGATTCGTAATGGACTTACGCTGCAAGTGAAGGTGTCGTTCGAGTTCCGGTTTCGTTTAAATGCGCGTGAACTTGCGGTGTAACGATCGAGGGCGTCGATATAGATTTCTGAAGTGGTAAACGCGAAGTCAGTCCTGGCATTAGACTGCTACTTTCTGCTAATCTCTGACTACCCCTCTTTGTGACTATCTTCTGATATTCGTTCTGTCAAAGAAAGATTTGTTATGTTTATACTTCGTCCCTGCGTGCATGTCAAGAAAAGAAATTATCTCTTGAAGAATCACGAAAATTACCTGTATAAGATCAGCTTCGTTCAGCGAGTGCGTGCTCGTTTGCGACCTGCATGCCCGATTGCTTACGCTTGCAGATCCGCTACATGATTTTCCATCTAATTCTAGCTCGTTTTCGCTGTCTAGGCTACTTAAACTAATGCTGCGTTGTCGCTGAAACAAGTAAACGAGTACGTCGTGATTGCGTAGTGAGCGGCATTTAGCGATGGCTTCAACGAGAAGCGCAATTGTTAAGGTAACAAAGGGCGTTTAAATATTGCAGCCGGTATTCGCGGGCGGACGGCAAGCGCGCCGCAAATTTACGATTTCTATAAAATTTCTAATTTTATTATGATGAAATTTTTACGGCCGCTCTTTTTAAAACATCTCTTTGTGCTCTGCGGCCCGGCGCGCACGTGTGCGTTCTCCATAGGTGCACGCGCGTGTGTACGCCGCAAGCTCGGCTCAGGCTCTCGACGTTACCACATTCTACCGCGAATCGCCAGGGAAGCTGCCGGGGTGGTGGGCGAGCAAGGAGGGATTGGAATCGCCATAAAAGTTAATTTGCAATTTTAATATCCCACTTTTTATTCCGACAAAGTCGGTTGATGGCCGTACGGGGATTTAATGAAACGAAGGTTACGTTGTGTGCTCGCGGGCGCGCGGTGCGCCGCGGCGTTGCACCGTATACAAGTATCGTCGCAATTGTCTCGTTATGGTCGACAATGCAACCGCGACTGACCCAGAATTCGTGTGTCGGATTCCCGTTGAATAATCGGTGAATCAAAGCGCGATCGCGGAAACACGCAAATGTTCCCGCCGCGGAGACTCCGACGTTGATAATTAAGAACAACGCGTTCGTAAAATGTGTATCGCTCGCAATTATTGCACGACGCTATAGTTTAGTTAGACGGAGGCACGCGGCCGGTCGTTAACCACATGCAGTTATTCAATTACGGTAAACCGCCGTAGTTATACAAGTCTAGTTTGCATCGCATCGAGCAAAATTATTTTTTATCGCACTGATGAGTCGCAGACTAATTGGACTGATTTTTTTTTGTATGCGCTGCCGAAAAGTCGAGTTTGTACACGCTCTTGACGCTCGCGAGGCGCGTGTACCGTCGTGTATAATAATCGGTGTTACGTCCGATCGATAACAGAAATGTCGCGATTCGGAAATCGAGTCTGGTAGGCATTAGGAGCCGGAGTCTCTTTATCGCGATGCGATGTAAAGCAAATAAGAGTGTGATTATTACCGGGCATTTGAGACCGATATAATTTCGATGAGTTCAGATTTCGATGCTACACAGACACAAAAGAATATCTATATTTACATTTTTTTATAATGGAAACAAAATAATAATATTCTTGCGTAGCATCAAAATCCGCGGCATCGAAACATGAACTCACCGAGATAGAATCATGCCCTGGTTTCAACAAGTAACGGGCAATATTAACCATATTTTGGACTTGCAGATGATTCTGTCCGGAGTACCGGCGGCGGCCGCGTCGGCTCTCCTCCAAATCCTCCAGATCTCCGGTCCAGCTGCGTCTCCGATCTATACCTTGCGCCTGTTGCGAGCGGGTATGACTACTCGCTGACGGGAAATGCGTCGGGGAGCTGTTCGTGGAGCAATTGCCGAGGAGAAGGTCTGGGTCAGAACCGGTGTCGTGGTGATGATGATTGCCGGAACGAGACGCGAGCTCGGCCGAAGCCAGCGGGCACAGGGACGGGCAGGAGGAGGTCAATCTTTGTGGAGCGTCGTTGGAGGCGCGAATGTGGCATCCCAGAGTGCCTAGTGTCAAGTCTCGCATACGCTGGATGCAGTCGTGAATCTCATGCAGTTGTTGCAAATTTTCCTCTGCAAGAAAACAAACGTTGCTCACAAATAGTTCTGTCAAATTTAAAAAAAATTAAACGTTAATTAATTTTTAAATCATATTTTTTAACTTGTTTATGTAGTTTTGATGTTTATTTTAATTTTATGAATCAATGCATCTTGATATAATTTTTTTATGCAAATTCAAATATTGTGTAAGTCACCACGCGCTAAAAAAATAAAACAAGAATCGTATATACATCTAAGACTTCAATCGTGTGAAACAAGAGAGCCAGTCATTACCTAGAACCGGATAATTTTTGGCCACACCGGGCGAATGAGGCGTGACGCTAATGATGGGCACTAGAGGATTAGGCTGGGCTTGTATATTAGTGCCGAGTGCGAGTAACGGGTGGTGTTGCTGCTGCTGTTGCTGCTGCTGGTGGTGCTGCTGCTCGTCGCCGCTTTCGGACATGGTGATCGGTACTTTGTCGGTATTGTCTTTGGTGTTGTAGCCGGTCTCCGTGATTATGCCGCCGTGTAAACTCAGGCCGCGTAGATCCCCATTAATGATAGGCAGCACGCGATCGCAGTCGGAGTGCGATGAGCCAAGGTAATCAGTTATTACATCTTCCTCGCTGTCCTCGCCGCTGTTCGGACACTCGTCTGCAAACATACGATCGTCGCGCCTGTATTACAACAGGTGTCGAAAAATCGGGAATCGACATCGTCATCACCGCACTCCATTCCTTCAACTACTGGTTAATTCAACACTATGCTACAAGAAGAACCCTAGATTACAAAGTACATCTTCCCCCGCTCTATTTCAAAACATCCAGCAACGAGAGACAAAAAAAGTTGTGTTTTTCGCTGCTCGATTGCGAAAGCAGTGATGGAGAGAGAGGTGGTGTAAAAAGCGCGCAAAGTATTGGCGGTGTCCTCGTGTGGTGATACGAAGCACAGAAAGCCGGAGCTGGAGGGAGTTCGAAAAGCGCGATACCGGAAAACCGATACCGAAACGTCCTCCTCGCGCCGCCTCTCTATTGACTCGCGGGACTGGGAACAAACGAGCGACTCCGCGACAATCGTGCCGGCCCCCGCGACGGCCTCATCTCTCGGACTTTACTCCGCGAGCGGAGTACCGCATAAAGGCATATTCAGTGGAAATCAGGTCAGATTGTGCATTCCGCCGACGACAACTCGCATCCGCGTTTCTCGCTTAAGTACGCGGACGGGATAACGTAACGGCGCCCGGGAGGACCGTCTCGATCCCTACGATGTGTCCGTCGGGACGAGTTCTCCGATTGATAACATCGTCAAGTACGTTAAGGTCAAACCGGATTCCGAATCGGGCACCGCGAACGCAAGTTGAATTTTTAAGGCTCTCACGATCTCACAGCGACGCGTGGAAACGAAAGCGACGAGGGAATGAAAGTCGAAGCGGGCAAAGAATGACGAAGAGGTCCTTTCTCGTTTCGTGCGTCAGACAGCTCGTTCCCCGAGTCGAATTGTACTCGAACAATTTGGCATTATCTCGTTCGTGAGAAAATAAACCGGAGAATCGTAATTCTATACGTAACGTTGTGCTGCGGTAAGGCACTAAGGGTATCAACTGGTTCGACTCGTGCCGCGCTACCGCGATTCTGAATCCCAATTTCGGCGTAATTTCGCGACGTTAATGATTCGCCGACGTCTTTTACGCGCGATCGGTACACGTCCAGTCGTTCGCGTACGATTTCTCACGAATCGTTGGTCCGCAATCGAGATCACGCACGCAGCCCGCGCGCGTGCGATCCAATCCAAATTTTTCCCAGAAAGAGGTCCTCTTCGGCGATCTTCTCTCCAGAAACAACGATATAACGGGTCGGATTTCACCGCCGCCCTGACGAATTTATCATTGTCCTTGAATGGGATGGGTGCGAGGAGCGCGCGAGATAGCGTACCGTGGCCGAGCACTTTTCCGGATAGAATGGGACTGACAGACTGTTGCTTTTCCCCCTGTGTAGCTCCCGGTGCGCGAATTGATCCGCTGGTCCGCGCGCGTCACCCCGCTGCCTCCGTACACCCCCGCAACCCTGTAATCCGCCGCCGTCACCACCGCCACCACCGCCACCGCCAACCTTCAACTCGCTCTGTCTCCTCCACCAGCTCTACTACCACCACCACTGCCGCCGCCGCGCCGGCATCAGCAGCAGCGTGTGTTTGTTATATTTGTATCTTTCCACCCTGAGCGTGTCGCGAAGTGGCCCGATATAAATCTTTAGCTCCCAGGGGCCATATTCTGATCCGCTAAAATCCGCTTACCGACAATTGTCGGTATCGTTGCGAAGGTTTTTCATATCGTGACGAGGCATTTGGCTACCTTAAGGGCTCAGTCACAATGAGAGGAATAAGGAATAAGATAAAGGAATAAGGAATAAGGGAATGTCGCATCTCACTTCAGTACACGTACATTAAAGTGAGATGCAACATGCCTTATTCCTAATTCCTTTATCTTATTCCTTATTTCTCTCATTGTGACTGAGCCTTAAGAGAGGTTTTTCATGTCGTGTAAACTGCGCAACGATACCGACAATTGTCGGTAAGCCGATTTTAGCGGAACAGAATACGGCCCCAGCTGCCTCCAGATATCTCCCACATGCGGCTTTTCACGCTCACGCGTGTTCCTGCAGATAATCTTCCGCACTCGGAAATTTTACCGGATCTTCCTCTCTTTTGGCAACTGTTGAGAATTTAAAACACTGAGTATCTTTGTAAGTAACAACACTGATGATTTTATCAGTATTGATTAACTTGGATTTAAATTCACTTTTTACTTTCTAAGAATAGACGTAGAACTGATTAAGTAAAGATTACGATCAATTGATGTTAACACAAAGAGGCAAATTATTTCCGATTAAGATTCCGTTAAAATAGAGTCTCTATATGTAGACAAAACTAAAGAATATTATTTCGCTTTCTACTTGCAGTACAAATCTGAATTCATTAGAGTTCACCAATCTTCAATTACTTATAAATTAAATCTCATAAAAACTGGTGCTTTAATAATGAAACAATGGTCACATTTTTATAGCTTTTTATAGAAGCTATCCCATCTCTTTGAATTTGATCACTTTGCCACGTGCAAATTCATATATAAAACAATTGCAATAAAAAAGTAATAATAAACAAAATTATTATTACGTATTATTTGATAACAAAAAAATCGTATATTTATATTCTTTTTTCAACAGCCTTTTATATATCTCTAGATAACTGCAGATAACTGATACGAGATACTATATCGAAATTTGATTAGGCTTTCTTCGTTTCGCAGTTTCTTTTAAATACTTATCTTTTATATTACGATCATTTTAAAATAAAGTCTGCTTGAAATTAACATTTCAATTTACGTTCTAAATTTATCGCTAAATGCGAAACACGTGTCTCGCATTTAGAGATACAATAAATTGAATAAATAATTAAATACTTCAATTTACTTTTCAATAACTTCCCCTCTCTGTTTCATTATCCTCTTGAATGCGCTCTTCGCATCTCGCCTCTTCGCTCGACAATTTCCTCTCAATCTTTTTACCGCGGAAAGATTTCGCCGTGGTAGTAATTGGCGTTACAAACAACAACCCTTCGACAACAACGGCATCAGTTACCAGGGGGATGTCTGGAGAGAAAGAGAGAGAGACTTGATTGTGTCGCTCCAGCTGGCATTTGAATGTAGGCCGCGGTGACTCCGAGTCGATATTATCGGCGTTATTAAATATTCCGGCAGTAATGATTTTCGCTGGGGTAGCCCGTAACGATCGCTCCTCCATCGTGAGAATGTACGATACAGCGATACTTCTTTGTTGGCCTGCACGTGGAAACCTTACGGGGCACTCGCGATAATTATTTTGCGGGTGACGTTGCACGGAATTCTGTGCTCTCCAAGAAATATAACGGCGCACGGATTTTCTCGATTCCGGAGAAAGTTTCGGCATCTCGTGGCTCTCAAGTAGCATCGCAACGCGTTCGCATTACTCTCTTCGTCCGTTTTCCGTCTCTATTCTTCTCTTCTTCGCGTGCGAATTGGCAAGTAATCGATCGCGCTGCGGAAAAACTAACTGTATTACTTTCGTTCCGGTGTAAGTACGTCGAGCGCGGAATCGGTACTGTTTTGCCGTTATCAGATACTCACGGAATTGAATTTTCATTTAACAGAATAGCACTGTAAACGCTTTACCTACACCTTTATAACGTTAATCTCATCGCTTTAACGAGGCTAAACGCCGATGGGAATTCCCAAATTAGCATCCCTCAGCAGGATGCTGACTCTGCTCAGACGTGCCGGAGCATAATATGGACGATACAATTAAAAAGGAAACGAATTTTCTGCCGCAGCTGTATAAACAATCTCTAAAATAAAATTTAAAAAACTAAACCCACGTAAAGACGCATGCTGATTAGTGGCGTGCGAACATACTTAATTACAGTTAATGACAATCCCTTGTATATGTAAAATATTGTTTTTCTCAAATTAGCCGAGATAACTTTCTAAATATTTATCACGAAATTAAAAAATAACAAAATCGATATACCGTGTGCGTTTCATGCATTTTAAAATATACCGAGTGCTTCTCTCTCTCTCTCTCTCTCTCTCTTTCTCCTCTCTTCCTTCACATGGTATTGATTACCTCAAGAATATTCTTTTGTTTCTGTTCCGACATAAATAGCAATGATAGATATATATGCATCACATAAGACACATCGAGCTTACTGGTATGTAAAATGCATCTCACTCCGATACACATTGCGATAACATCAATTCTTTTATCCGCTGCTCATTATATAACAGAAGCTCTGCCAATTTATTTTCCAAGATAAAATAAAATAAAATAACTAGTGGTTTTTTTTATCTACTTCCTTTCCATTTAATAATATTAATTTATTCCTCGCAAAGTCGTTTTAACAAAGGTCGTTCCAAACACGTTACATTTTAAGCCTATGATGCAATAGCTAGATTATCCTTATCGGAGTTTGAAATATAAACTGCTGGAAACTCAAGGTAATTAAGTATAAATATTTTTCTCCTCCATATGTGAGGTCCCGAGGGGGACATTCCGACAAATTTTCTCGACTCTTTGACGCACGATCAATCGCGTTCTCTGGAACTATTTAATATTATAAAGTTCATACGTTTCAATATGTTTTTTGTGCATGCATCGCGTACGTCAGTTAATAATACGCGCATACAAGTATAAATAAGCCTGGCTTTGCGGCACTGAGCGGCACGCCGCGTACCTTACGCCCGCGAGCAACCCACGCCTACACAACAAACAAGCCGTCCACGCACCTTCCTGCGTGACAGACGGAGAGAAAGCCGCGAGGCGACTCACCGGAGGAAAACGGAGCGAGGACCTCCTGCCGCTTCTCCATCGTTTCTCGCGTCCCTCTCGGGGGCCGTATCCTCGCGCGGCCGCACCTCGCTCTTCTCGAGAAACACTGCACGGACTGCAACAATCGAAAAGTACGGCCTGAGAAACGCGTGGCGACGAGCCGGACCCTGCACGCGGGGTCGAGATTGAAGCGCGCGACGGCGACGGGGCGCTCATTCGGAGGCGCCGTGGGAACCCGCGGCGGCGACGCGGTTCTCCTCTTCCGTGTTTCTCTCGCGATCTGCAATTGCGAGAGATCTGCCCGCGTCTCGAGATCGAAATACTCCCGTGGAGGAATTCAAAAAGACAAAGGACGAATTTTATTCGCGGGCAGAGACAGACGCTCGCTCGGGCGCTCACTCGCTCGCGCGCGCGCGCGCGCGCGCACCCGTCGCACTTTGTGCGCGCTAGGTATTGACAGGTGGATCGCGGGCGATCCACCGTCTCGATTGGTCTCGATCCCGCGTCTCCTCCGACGCCCACGCGGCTTCCCGCACCCGCGGGATACGTACCCAAGTACGCCCTTTATCCCGCGATAGCCATTTAGCGTCGCGCACGTCGGCGTCCCCGGGGCGCGTCTCTGTCTCGTTCTCGGGTTGCGCGGGGTAACGCACAGTCTCGCGTCGGCAGGCGGCCCACCGTCAGCGCGACACGGTCAAAGGCACGTCGACCATCTTGTACTGGCCGCAGTGCCGTGTCGCGTCACCGCCGTCGCCCTCGGCGTTCTGGAACTCCGGACACCGGGCTGACCGGGCCCTGGGGACGGCGACGAATGGAGATGAAATTTCGCAAATAATGATGATTAAAAGCTACTGATGAGCGTCCAATCGAATTAGTTCTCGATCTCACTTGAGGACGGTATTTATACTACTATAGAAAAGCAGGAATGACAATTGGGTAAACAATGGTGGAAGAATCGGAAAAATGACTTCTCGAATTGAACGCATACCTGTTGCGCCTCGTTTCCTCCCCCGTTTTTCTTTCAAGTCGTTTTTTTTTTTTTTTTCAATGCGTTGTGCCTTTTTTGCTACTGAGTATATGCGATAAATGAAGACGGATTTGTTAGCCGATGTTGACGCCGCGGCAGCTCGACCACGTTCCGGTCCTGCTTTTAAAAGGAAACGGGAAAAGCAGTTAGGGCAAGGAAAACACAAGGTGGGGTGGGGGGGGGGGATAGAGAAAACAGATTACGCTTACTGCATTTAAAATCAAACGTCGTATGTATATGTATACGTGGATTTCGAAAGAAAAGACTTGTAGAAAATTATGAAGAAGAGATGGAACTGTAACATATACATACATACATACACTATTATTTATACGTAGATTTATTCGTTTCGGTCATATGTCTTGTCCTGAAATTTAAAGTGAAACGGTATATCCATGATAAAGGAAATAGATCCCGGAGAAGTGCAGAAAATGTAGGTATCAGGTAAAGGAGCAAACGCGCGAGAACGGTTGCGAGATGCGAGATCAGCGAGATCCTTCGACGTGAAGGAGGTTGTCGACGAGACGATATCAAAATTGTGCGAGTTTTCGAGGTTTTTCTCAAACTCGAGAAATTTTGAACGATAACAAAGCCGACGCCACGAACTTTGAATCTGTAGATTAGTGTAGATTGAATAAAAGATGAGGGAGACAGTATAGCGATTTGTCATAAATGTTTAGTCATCGGATGGAACGACTTCGATTGTATGCGTCGGCTGGTTTATTGGATTGAGCGACTTAATTATAATGCGGACAGATATGTATAATACGGTAAAATTTTAATGTAACGACTCTTTAAAGACCGACTAATGTTACACTGAAGAAGGCCACATTCAAGGCCGAAACGTATGTATTTTGTTTATTGTATATAAAGTAAATATTTTTTAGCAAGAACACCCGGCTAGTTCGCCAGCCCTTCTCATATGTTGTTTTATACTAAGCGAACAGTTAATTTATTATTATTTATATTTCTGCTTATTTTTTCTATATTTTTTGTAATATTTTATCAGTTTGATGAGAAGACTAAAGATATAAGTAAATCGAAACGTAAACGTTTGTTATATTCTCGCTTAATAAGTTTTATATTAAACCAACTTATTTTTGTTTTGCTCGGAGATTGGCTATATATATAACCTCCATATTTTAATTAGGTTTATATTATTATTATAGTGTGGTTTTCTTATTATATTAGATTTTAGGCTCGTGTAATCGATCGGAAATAATGATATGCTGACGGATACTGCGTAGCGAAGGACTTATTGTTAGAAGTTTTCGAGCAAGGTTTAGCCTCTTGACGCAAATTTTGCGTCAAGAATTGCGTCTCGAATTTTATTTCAATCACGAGGGTAGAAGATAAGCGGCTTTAAAGGCTCAGTCACAATGAGAGGAATAAGAAATAAGATAAAGGAATTAGGAATAAGGCATATTGCATCTCACTTTAATGTACGTGTACTAAAGTGAGATGCGACATTCCCTTATTCCTTATTCCTTTATCTTATTCCTTATTCCTCTCATTGTGACTGAGCCCTAACTCCTCCGCCTATACACGTTTCTTCGATAATCTAACTTTTCTGGAACGTGGATAAACGTGGATCTGTCACGTTTGACCTTTCTCCCTATCTTAAAATATTTTTAAAAATTTGAAAAAATTCACAAAACATTTGTCTACTGTAGTTAACGATTTTATAGTATTATAGCATTTATAATATTTACTACCAAGGCCGTGCAAAGGGAAAGTGCGGCGGATGCACCGCAGCTAGTAAATTAATTTCTATTCAATTTAATTTTATATGCAAATTAAGTATATTCATTTATATTTATTTATGATTCATAAGATAATAATTTATAGTTAGGTATAGAAATCTATAACTCCTTATGCCTACAACTCCTGAGTTGCGTTCCAAAATTCACTCTAGTTAACTAAAATGCTATAGTGTACGTGACGCAAACTATAGATTTTAGTTACCCAGAGTGAATTTTGGAACGCAACCCTGCAAGTTTACTGCAATCGAACGTGATTGGCTTTTACTTTTAGAACCAACCAATCAACGTGGAGTGTTGATAAGACGAACTCAACAGTTGTATCTGTTGAACGCGGCCAATATCGCGCATGAAATAATGTCCATTTCTATGTAGATAATTTTGGTTCAACTTTAATTAGTTAATTGAAGTTTAGTTGAGGTGGGCCTGAAGAGACCATATATTTTTGTTAGAAATTTTGTAATAATTCCTGCTGATTGAATTAATCGCCGATTAAATTAATCGGAGGTTGGTCGGTTCGTTCCAAAGGCAAGAAACATGAATTTTTCAATCATTTTTAAATGTAACATTTAGGGCCCAGACACACACTTTTTCGTAACAGTAACAGTAGGATTTCGACCAATCGTGTTACTCGATTCGGGAACGTATGGCCGTACGTTTTCAAATCGAGCAACGCGATTGGTCGAAATCCTACTGTTACGTTCTACGGAAAGTGTGTGTGGCCAGCTTTAGGGCCGATATCACAGTCTCCGATTAACGTGATCCTCCGATTAAAATCACTCTGCATCTCTTTCTAACTGTCCCCCTAGAAAGAGATGAAGAGTGAATTTAATCGGAGGATTACGTTAATCGAGGTTTGTTCGCGTCGCATACTCCAATAAACACCAAGAGCACTTGGATCACGGATAAAAGGTGGCGATTGGAGTAGATGAGTTTTTGGAGTGCGTTGGAGTGATTAGGAGCATGGTGGGGCATGCGACGCGAACAAACCTTCGGAGACTGTGATATCGGCCTTTAATCCGCGATACTCCGATTCAAATTGTCCAATTCAAATTCAATGTCGCCATCGTCACCAATAAATCGGCTCGCCGCGCATGGCGGTGCCGCGACCTCAACCAACGAGCAAACTCAGCAAACTCTCTCGCATTTCGCGCTTCGAAGCAACTCTACGCGACGCGCGTACGCCGTGGTGACGTGTGATACCGCAATCCGCAATTGTATCGCGTATCCGATTGTGCTGGGAATCGGTGGGCTGTTTTGCCGCGTTTTCCGTGCGAGAATTCGCGTATCCCGATCCGACGGTATTTAACGAGATGACACGTAGATCTCGAGCGCGATAACCAGCGATCTCGAGCCAGCAGCCCGGCCGCATGTGAGTATGACCGCGAGCGAGTCTCTCTCCCCCCGTGCTTGGTGGTTGGTGGTTAAAATCCATCATCATTGACGTCTCCCTGTCGGGTCGGGCGTTCGCGAACGTGTCGGCGAGCGTCGAGCGAGGCAGAGGCACGCTTTTGCGACGGCCGAGCCGACGCGTCCGATCTTCCGATTGCAGTTTTCGTTTAATTTTGTCAAACCAATTCGGAGATATATCGCGACCGCACACCTGAACTATAGATCACGGAGATTGTAGAGATAGCGACGGGGGAAGGGGGGAGAGAAAGAAATAGTGAAAGAGAGAGAGAGAGAGAGAAAGAGTAAGAGCAAAAGTGTACGTATATATGTATGTGTATTTTATTGTCGCATTCATACAGCACGCACGTGAAACGTTTTGTCGGGTCCTATTCACAGATTAATCAATTCCGCGTGTGACTTATTTGTACTTTTCATTCGAGCATTATCACGTATCTTTGTGAGAAGAATCAAGCGCGATCAGCGTATCGTGTTGCAGTGAGCGTCTCACGTCTCGCGTCTCGCGCTTTCTCATGTTTTTTTTTACAAGTGCAAAATGAGAGTTAAATTTCGTACTTTGACACCATTTTATCTCCAAGAGTTGCATTCTGTAAGCTGCGATACGTGCAGTAATATTTTTCCCTGTATAATTGTACATATCCGACAATCAGCGACTTACTGCTAAGGTGTTACATTAGGATATCACTTTTTTTTGTATAATTTTATTATCTTGTGTCAAAATCAGATGACTCGATGAAAGACCAATTTGCTTGATACGTAATAATGAACGGTTACTTTGTAATTGCTATAATTATTCCTGTGAGATTGTAAATTCATTAATCATCTGTAAAATACAATTGATTCTTACTTGTTTGCTCAACATTTGTGTAACTTATTGTTGCAGAGTGTTCATCGCTGTAATATCAATTTGTCACAATCATGTCCTATCCTGGTCAGCCGCCTATGGGTATCCCAGGGATGCCTCCGATGCCATACATGGTTGGTGCGCCACCACCAATTATAGGAGGTGTCATGCCTATGGCCCATGTAAGTAAATTTGCTTCTTTAGGGCATGATAGACGTGTTTCGATATTGATTGATTATTTGTGAAAAGCATCACATTTGTTTAGACGCAAGAGTTAAGCCAGTTTGCGTGTAGTAACTTTTGCTTTTGCTACAGCTAAACAAATTTTTTTTGAAATTGTCATCAATAAAGTGTCTGCAAGAGCATTAATTTTATACAACGCAGTACGCAACATGCATAAGTGCCCACTCTACAATAGGTGTTTTAAGCCCTAAGCCTTATATTTTATGTTCTAAACTGTGACGTATTTCCAGCCTTGAGCGTTCCTCCTGCTGCTCTAAGCTCTAAGCCCGAAGCGAGTTGGCCAACTTTTATCTTTAAAAGCTTAGGGCTTGAGAGAGGCTTAGAACCTATGTAATATCTCTCTAAAACAAAGACTAAGGCTTAAAGCACCTATTGTAGATGGGGACTAATGAAAGTAGCATTGATTAATACATTTGCTGTATTATCTTCTACACGTGAAGCATGCATTTACACATTTCTATTGCTGTAGAGTGATACGTATCGTTTAACAATTATTACATCATAGATTTTCTTCCAAGTATATGAAAACAAACGTGCTTTGAACAAGTTTATAAGCAGCTTTGTACATAAAAAGGAAAAAGTTATCTTTCTTTTAAATTTTTCTTTAAATTATTTAATGCATGTGTAACACGCAGAGCAGAATGGACAACTTGATAATCCGTAGCTGATGCTTAGTTAACCGAAGTAAAAATATGAATTAATCGTGCTATTAGAGAGGGAGGGGAAAAACTGAGTGCATGAGTAGACATGTGCATAATTAAGAATCCTACCATTTATAAAACATAGATGATTCCATCACCCGTATCTGCGATGCAGACCTCCGCGCCGGCTGTACGTTACTCGCGCAATCAGAATCGCCACGATAATAATCGAAGGCGCGAGAGAGAGTCCGGCCCACCTGTCACGGTATTCATTGGTAACATAATGGACAGAGCGCCCGACGTGATGATACGACATATTCTGGGAGCTTGTGGGCATGTTCTCTCTTGGAAGAGAGTACAGGCGTTCGGCTTTTGCGAATACGCGGGCCCGGACGCGGGCCTCAGAGCAGTCCGATTGCTCCATGACATGGAAATAGGCACGAAGAAGCTCGTTGTTAAAGTGGACGCTAAAGCTAAGGTAGTCCTGGACCAATTCAAAGGTAAGCTTTCAGCAGAGGTGACAAAAACCCAAGATAGAAATAGGATAAAATATAACCAACGCTTTGCTTTATAGCTGAAAGAAGGAAGAAACTCAGAGGTGGCCAATCGCCTCTACAGGACGAGGTACCCGGTGAAGGAGTTGACGGCGAAGAGGGTGAAGATTATATGGACGAAGGCATGAGAGTGGTCGACGCAGATGCGCTCGCTCGCATCAACCAGATTATAGCAGAACACGCTATAGATCTAGAAATGGCTCAGGTTGCTCCAGGTAATTATTTAAATAGTCGCTAAATTTTATGTACAAGGGACACGTGAGTTTCTTACTGTAATTTGTCGCAGAGGAACACCAGACAAAAATGGTAGCTAAATCCTTAAACCTGGATGATGCAGAGATAGAAGAGAGTAAAAGAGACTTGATTACCCGAGAAATTGGCAAATTCAGGGAGGTCATGAAGGTAATTATTATTATTACGAGTATCTTTAAATCTTTTTTTTTTAAGTCTTATCTTTTTTCTTTTTTGTAATCATAAAAAGTTTGTCGCGTTAGACGTAATAAAAGACGGAATTTTGATCTCTCTCTTAAAAAATATATTGAAAATTTGTTCATTTATCAATCCATGAGGAAATTGATGTTTATGTGTAACACTCGGTTTACGAAGCATTATAAACATATCTTTTTACAATTGATCTAGTCATTACACTGCAAAATAATGGAAATTCAACGAGATAAAATAATGCATTCCAGATGCAGCAAGGTCAGATAAATAACTGATTTAATTGTGCTATTCATATATTAGCGATAATGTATGATATATCCGTATATTTTTCTCTGAGTATTGATTTTTTTATTTTTCATCTTGTGTCTTTTTTTTTATCATCTTGATATAAAACTTTGGAAAACATCTTTTCATCTTTTATTTTCAGAATATCAAGTATATGTTTGTAATACTTTGTATTATTGTTAATTGTTGTTTTTACATAATGTTAATTTTTTTACGCATCTATCGGTTCATTCACAAGTTTATGACATTTGAGTATGTCAATGACGCCGAACGGATATAGTTTGCGTACGTAAAATTTTCGCAAAACTTGAGAATATTGAATGTATAAAAAAAAACATTGTTACATCTTGTTGATTTAGATGAAATCAGAGGTATACAACAGTTATTACAACGATGCTATACACGAAAGAAAGAACTCATCTTTTAATGTTTGTCAATGAATTGCCGCTAGTATCTACCTCGTATGTATGTTGCGATTGGACACGATTCGTTACGTTCACGCTAGTGTAACACATGATCTGAATGATAAAACATGGAGATGCAAATTGACGAGCTCTTGTTGCAATGTGAGTACTGAAAGTGTCCAATCGCATACACATTCTATCGCAGACGCTGGTAATTAGATTCTTTCTCTTTCTCTCTCTTTCTCTGTCTTTCTCTCTGTGTACACTTAAAATGTAAAAAAAATGTATTTGGATATATGTATACAAGAGAAGATTACGAGTATCTCGAAAGTCGTAGCTTTTAAGTAATTTGTGGTAAAGTGCGTGTGTGCTATATTAGCTCTGAACAATTGGAGCCGTGACTCGTTGCTATAATTATAATAACAGGCAGCGTGCGTCGCACACAGCAAACGCACACGCCTAGGAATGCTGTGTGTGGGGACCACCCTTTCACTCACTCATTGGCTCTGAAGGGAGTCAATCACAGCACATCCCTCGTATTTTCGCAGGCGGCTGCAGGCTTGTTGGTAAGTCAGAGTATAATCCAAACAACCAAACATGAAAAAAAAAAAAAGAAATGCGCAATACATTAAGAAGGAGACTCATAGCTCTCCGCGACAAGCTGGCGACATGTAGCTGATCAGTTTGTTTCTCTTGGTATTCTGTTTTACTGATTCGTCGTAAATACAGTATGCTACATTGCGGCTATTATACTTTTGACGTTTAGAGAAAGATACAATTACGATTTATTTGGCACTAAACTAACTTTATCTACTTCTGTATATGTCATACTAAACTGCTAGCAATTAATGTCCAAAATATGTTTTAATCTGCCAAAATGGTGCGCTGAAATAATGAGTTCTTTTTATCTGTTGTGCAGCTATATCTGGTTTTTATAGTAAAACACAATTTTTATTCGATACATGATTGCCGAATATATTCCGAGCATCTGTTTATTTGATCTATCAATATTTTGTTTTCGTTAATTATGAATACGCATTAAGATCAAAATAATTTATCAACTAACATTGCTGCAAATTACAGTGAATTATCGAATGTATGCTCGTATCAAACGTTATAAGTATTTATTTTTTTTAAACAAGAGCCAATTAATGCATTAGAGGATAGGAATGGAGGTTACTCCTATAAGGTGAATCACTAGAAACAGAACAACTAAATATTTCTCTATAGAGTCAAAGATATAAAAGAATACAATTTAGGTGGTTTTGGAAACTCTGACTGTGGGGATAAAAAATTATCTTTTAAAAGATCTTTACTTTTTAGAATTAGTTGATCTTTTTTAATTAGATATTTTTATAACAGAATTAGAGAGTTATTGGTCGATTCGACCCATTCAAGATCTTGTTCTGGTCATGCCTCAACATCTTCAAGTCTAAAGAAAATCTTTAAATGTTTTGTTTCTTGTTAATCACCATGTATACGCATTATCGTGTATCGCGTTTACATTAACGAAGCAATACATTGTCTCTCTACTTAATTTTTTTTCGCAAGAGACACGCGTGTATCCGATTCTGTATCAAATTAAGATGAACGACGAGGAACGATTGTTTGCCGTTTACGAATGTTACATTGATTATTCGTGTTGACGCCTAGCAGTCTAGTATTCGCATATCGAACGTAGGTAAGCGGTTGTCCAGGTTGCTTTCACGCACACAGCCTAGGATTGGAACGTATTATCATTTTGAACAAAACACACTTTGGCGCTGACACACTTTTTACATCTTTGGGATAGACTATTTGTTAGGGCCGGGAGACTCTCTCTGTGCGCTACACACAATGAAACTGATTTTGTCCATCACCAAATGGCGACTGTTCAGTTGTTGTCTTTATTTTGTGTAAACAGCTTCTGTCAGCGTCTCGATCAGACATGTAGTACCTAGGTGCGCGCTCCTCCATTCTCCGGTACCACCACACTGACTGACCAAGTCAACTTCACACCGTGAGTAAACTCCACAACCATGAGCCAACACAAGCATTCGGTTCTTGTAGTATTTTTGCTAGTCAACTGCTCAGTCTGAGAAATACCTTTTTGACCACGTTTCATGTTTCAGCAGTCTATTTTCTCCTCACAATGTGCATCTACTTTTATGCACTGAGTTATTCTACCCTTGTTAGAGCTTAAAATCATGGGTTACCGTATGGACGAGATAGCTTACGTTCTATGTGTCATGCTGACGAGACGATTGTGTAAAACAGTAGTAGGATATCATTGTCAATGATGAGAACGATAAAAGATTAAAAGAGCTACATTTTCTCAAATTCGATGATTGTAATAGTAAAATATGCCAATACTGTAGCGATATATCATTTCTATAATTACATAAGTCAGGAAGAATAGTAGAGAAAAAAAATGTATAATAGTGTAACGAGTAGCATTTTACTAATAGAGATTATACTTGTTTGTAGAATATTTTATTTAAATATAAATATTTATATTCAAATATTGTGAGCAGATTACGTTTTTAATCTCATATAATGATCGCGCAATAATTTCACGTCGGGATCGATTTTCCAAACAGTAACCCATTTTTGGATAGTAGTATAACAGAATAAGGATGAATCACACTAATTTATTTCTAAGACGTTGCGTTTATAACACGGGACGATAACGGTGGGCAAACTATTGTGCATTTGATATTCAACAGTTTGCTGCATCGGCTGCCATAACGCGTGTAACCATTACCAGAGGAAAACAAATGTTGTCAGACAGTGTGAGACAGTTTCTTGGCAAATGTGAAAAGATGTTTTGGTGGGATACCCTTCTTCGTGATGACTGCGCTTCCGATTGGTATAATACTTTCTAATAATTATTGAATATTGATCAAGAATGTCTAAATAATCTCAAGACCCCTTTCAAGCTCTTAGATTTTATCATAGATTTAGACACTATCGATTTTACAGGCACATTTGCAATGTTGTAAGTACATTGGGTGGCCTCTGCGATGCATCTGTTAATAGCGTTAAGGTATTTAAATTATAAGCTAGAGTTTAAGATAACTCTTATGCCTGTATCCAAACATTTGTACCTGCACTTAGGTAATTGATATGTAAACGAGATTTCTCTCGCGTAAGATGCTGCTGATCGAGCATACTCCAGTGGAGTGAGTATACCATATTGAAATGAACATCTCTCTACATTCGTTATGTCAGATGATTAAGGCTTATTACAACTAGTAATCGTTCTGTATACGAATCGTGACATGGACATTTACACGCGATTTAAATGCGATTCTTTTTTGCTGTTTACGCGTACGTCCTTTCTGTTGATTGTTAAAAAATGCAATAAAAACATCTCAACAATTGACATACATTTGGCAAAATGTATTTAACAGATTGGAATAGCTGCGAATTTTTAATTTGAAGTTTTGTTCAGTAATTAGTATGCGTTCTCATTTTTATAACGATGATCAGAAAGATCCTTATTTGCTAACAATATTTACAAACATAATAGTATTTTTTGTTGCATCTGAGGAAGATACGATTGCTAGTTTCTTGGTTTCCATCATTATCACAGATCGACACGCTTGTTTTAACCTTTTTTCTCACCTGTGCCCGCGTTCTTGTGTTTTATAGAAGCAGGAGGAGGAGAAGGCCCAGGTAAAGCGTAAGAAGGAAGCTGTCGAGAAAGAGGAGCGCGAGAAACGGGAAAAGGAGCGACGCGATAAGCGTGACGATGATGCTTCCAACAAGGATGACCAAGATGGTGACCCTGGTAGTCCTACGTCTCATAAAGGTCGTAGTGATAGTACCGGCAGCAGTAGAAGGGACAAACGTCGCTCTAGATCTAGGTGAAGTAACGTTTGCATCCCCTATTGGATAGATGCACTATATTGAGCAATGTATAAAACATATTGAACTAAATATTTTTGCGAATAGGAAAGCGCGTGTAGAACGCAGTTTGAATACATTGTACAGATTTATGCGAGCCATGCTACATGATGCCATCCTTGGACATTCACCAGTGATTTCGTTGTCTTAATGGATAATTTTTTTTTTGTGTTGTTTACAAATATAGTTTATTTTCTACTTCATAAACTGTTTGAACTTTTCAGATCTAAAGAACGTGATAGGGATCGATCGAGAAATGACAGAGATAGGGATCGAGACAGAGATCGCGAGAGAGATCGAGAACGGGAACGTGAACGGGAACGGGAACGAGAGCGAGAGCGAGAGCGGGAACGAGAGCGGGATCGGGATCGTGAAAGGGAACGCGAGCGGGAACGTGAGCGAGATAGAGAGAAGGAGAGAGACCGAGAGCGGGAGAGGGAACGGGAGCGAGAAGAGGTGAGGAAGAGCGAAAGAGAAATTATGCGCGAGAGGGAGGAGGAGGAGGAGGCAAAAGAGAGGAAGAAAAACGAGAGGCGAGCCAGAGAAAAGGAGGCAGCGTACCAGGAACGTTTGAGGGCATGGGAGACACGCGAACGACGCAAACAGAAGGAGTACGAGAAAGAAGCAGAGAAGCGTCGTGCGAAACGCGAGGCCAGAGAGAGGGAGGCAAAACGTTTGAAAGAGTTCCTCGAGGATTACGACGACGATCGCGACGATTCCAAGTATTACAAGGGTAAAGAGTTGTCTCGCCGACTCGAAGAACGAGCACTGGAGGCCGAAGCAGATTCGCGGGATCGTTGTGCCGAACGCCAGGAGCTTCAGCGTTTACGTGACAAATTATACGCAGATGCCTCCAATCCGGATCCTGCCGCGGAATTTGAAAGGGTAGGTCATATTCTGTATTTAAGCTTATAATTAAAGAAACATGAGATTAATTCTTAATAAATTAAAATAAATTTTAATTTTGCATTTTTTTCTTTGAACTGAGTTTGAGACTCGCACAGAAATACTTCCAGTATTAAATTTGTGTAAAGAGGAATTATTTTGTAAAAAAGGTATATTTTACAATATTGTATAAGAATTGGTTCTGCTTTCTATGTTATAATTAAAAATACTTTATTACGCTACAATACTACATAATGCTGTAGACATTATCTAATTACAAGGAAATACGTAAGGGAATTTTTTATCTTTTATTTACTTTCATGTTTTGCTCCTTTTTTTTATTAGTTGAAAGCCGAAAGGGAGGAACAGTATAAGCCTAAACCAGTAATAACTATAATTGACGAAGAGGATGACAAAGTGGTGAAGAAGGATAAAGAAATAATGCCGCCGATAGAAACCGAGCCAATAGAGAGTGACAGTGATGATGGTGTGCAGTTTGATGATGTTTCTCAGCCAGAAGCACCATCCAGGACGCCACCGCGACATCATCATCATCATCGTCGGCATCATAGACACCATCAGAATCATCATCGCGACGGTGAGGAGAATCAAGACGTATTAGTGGATGCGGACCGAGAGAGTCTAAAAGACGCACGACCTTCACCGGGGCATCAATCAGGCGCGACACCTGCTCAATCCATTCCACCATCGTTAGATGAAGATTCACGCATGTCCCTTGTTAGTGAACCAGAAAAGACAAGTGGTAGTAAGTGTCTCTTGGTTTACCTACAAATACAATACCGTAAATTGTTTCCTCGCAATTTTCATAGGAATACAACTTCGAACAATCTTAATCATTTATAACAAATATTTAGTGTGTTTCGATAATTTTATATTGTTGAGTTAATATATATGAAATGTGCTATAATGTATCGTATTGATACAAATACAATACCGTAAATTGTTTCCTTGCAATTTTCATAGGAATACAACTTCGAACAATCTTAATCATTTATAACAAATATTTAGTGTGTTTCGATAATTTTACATTGTTGAGTTAATATATATGAAATGTGCTATAATGTATCGTATTGATATAAATTCTTCAATGTATAATAGCATTCCTCCTTGGTGTAGGTAACTTTGTTCCATTTGCTATGGGAAGTGGGGGCAATCGTGCTAGCGATCACAGTATAGGCGGTAAAACACCGGTCAGTCCTAACACCGCTACTAATACGAATTCACAACAGGCGAATCAAACGCGGAAAAAGGGCCGTATTGACGTTAAGGACGTATTTAATAACGACGACGATGACGATGCTGCTAATAACGCGAAAAAACGTAAACTTGTACCTTTAGGTAAGTGTTTTACCTTCATTATTAGTTCTGAAGTTGTTGAGAAGTTGAGATACTTAGAGCTTACATCTTCTCAGATTACGGAGACGAAAAGAAAAAGAAAACCGAAGAAGCCACAAAGACGGGGAAAGAAGAAAATACAAAAAGCCAAGAAGAAAAACGAAAGCACATAAAATCTCTTATAGACAAAATACCTACTGATAAGAACGCATTGTTTGGCTATCAACTCGATTGGGCACTCATCGATAACGTAAGTATTATTCATTTTCAGAAGAACAAATTTTCTTTGTAAAACAAGCTTTCCTTTTTATTAAAAAAAAAAAAAAAAAAAACCGATTTTATTAATATATCGTTTAATTCCAATCTTGTCTTGATTCATTCTGTACTTTTTTTTATATTACGGCGATTTTTATTGGTAAACCCGACTCTTATAAGCATGTTTTTACATGTTTCGCTTTTTCGTTTAGACATTGATGGAGAAGAGGATAAGACCTTGGATCAATAAAAAGATTATCGAATATATTGGCGAACCCGAACCTACTCTAGTGGATTTTATTTGTAGCAAAGTAATGGCGGGCAGTTCTCCTCAGGGAATACTAGACGATGTACAGATGGTAATTACATCGTGAAATACTTCTTGCTTTCGCATTTTATAGACGAACTTCTTGCGGAATATATATCTCGCGCGTTTCAGGTATTGGACGAAGAAGCGGAAGTGTTCGTAGTCAAAATGTGGAGGTTACTAATTTATGAGGTGGAAGCTAAGAAGATGGGCTTAGTGAAGTAAATGGAGTGTCGTCCATAAATTCATCAATTCATGATTTATACTACACATAAAATTCTTTCGACTAAGCATAAGAAAATGTTTAGATACTACATACTTATATGCAATTTAATATTATTAAATAGGAATTCTATCCTATAAAAGCACAAGTTGCTCGATCAATAGGTGGTACTAAGTGTGTAGTAATTATAGCGTTAAATAAACTTGTAATTATGATTTATAATATTTAGTGTGTTCCTCAATTTATATACGACTGTCGTCGAGCGTAAATGATGACATTCCTACATGACAAAACTGGATATCGGTATCCTGATACACAAATATTTTAATTGATGTTAATTGCACTGATTCTGGGCGCGTATTGTATTTATTTAAATATTGTATTTAAATAAATATTCGTACATTGCGTATGTGTGTTGTATAGGCATAATTTTACTTTAGCGTAGATAACGAAAGAAACTTTATAATAAATAAAATTTTTGAAATTGACCTTTTCGAAGTTTTGTCTTCTACTTCGTTACGTTCTCTTGATACTTAATCTATTTTTCGGAATTTACATTTTCGCGGTTCGAATCTCTGAAATTATAAGAATTTAGAAATTGGAGTTATAGTTCTTGTAATTTTATAATTAGCCACCTTCTATCTGATTATATTTTTCTGATACTTCATAGATTTTTGAGAATTTGAATTTCTTTCGCAGGAATTAAGATTGACATCAGAAACGAGAGATATCGATTTCTTTTCCTTGCACATTACGTATCGTAACAAATTAATTTTCTCACGTGTATTCACGTTTAATAATACAAATTAAAATAATAAAAATAAAAAATAATAAAAAAATAATAAGAGTTCGAACAGATGAGCGCATAGTGCTTCCATGTCGCTACGCTTCATCTTGGCGTGTACGTCCTTCTCATCCATAAAACATTCAATATTTAAAGGAAG